TTTGTAAACTGTACTATTCTGTAGGCTAATAGTGTGAATCTATACTATATATTTATTTGCATTGCATTTAATATTGAGGTAATTCAGGTTACATCATTCTTATATTTTGATACTCAGATTAGGTTTCTGATCACATTTTTTAAAGGTAAATAGTAATTGTAACGAATTACATTGTTAAAGTAACCCTCCCAAATCTGCCTATAACACGCATTATCAATCACTGGAATCACTTAGACAAGTGAACAATGCATTCCTGCTGTTTTTCAACTCTACGGCTGAGGAAGTATCTCAAAGTCACAGGGAGGAAGAAACAGGAATTGTGCTTAAATGGGTCATTCACAAGACCCAGTGCATGACAGGCAACACACCGGAAAGATGATCTTTTGTGGTCACAGTCTTGCCTCATAATATTCAGGTTACTGTAACTATAGTGATCAGCTTCAATGAGAGAGAGAGGCAGAGAGGGAGAGGGGCGAACATGTGACAGTGTAACTGTGGACTCATGAGGAATCCACAGCCAGACAGTGGGTGTCTGTGTGAAGCAGGCAGCATGGAGAAGGCCTATGACATTGATCTTGCCTTAACACTGCAGAGTTTCCGCCAGAAAAGTTGTTAGGCTCAGTAGTCAAGTATCCTTTGACTGGACTGATGTCCCAAGGGCGGATTATGAGACAATTGTCAGTGGGCACACATGTGCAAAAGGCCCAAACTGTACCTAAACAGGATCCAGACATGTATACTGCCCCTCGGTGGTGGGGTTAGGGTTAGGGTGCAGACCATTAACATGCACCTAAACCTATATAACGCACTACAGGAAGAGGATAACCCAAAACGGATAAGGGCCCCTTTAATATTATTTAGATGGGGGCTCTAAATTAGCCAAGTGGGTAATTTGCCTTGCATCAGTCATTTTGTTTCCCTTTGAAGTCGTTGTATATAAATTGCACAATATATCATGCTTTTTAATCCTTTTGCACGATTAGCACATCGTAAGAAATTTGATACGGCGATCAGGTTTGTTTTTGTTGGTGCCTTTTGTGTTAAGTTCCCTGTTCAATTTGTTCAATACTTGGTCTGTTTAAAATAATGACCTTTATTTTTTTTTGTTTAACAAGCAATATGTTTTATTTTAGCAGTATAATGAAAGCAGTATAATGAAAGCAGTATAGTGCAGCGCTAAGTGACTATCTTTTCAGGATATGAGTCTCTTTATTGTTCGAATGGGCGTTATACTGTATAATCGGTACCACTAGATCAGGGGTGGGGAACCTTTTTCCTCTCAAGGGCCATTTCAATTTTTTCAACATCCTCCGAGGGCCGTACACATGATTGACCTCTGCTTAAAAATACTAAAATCAAAGCCCATTCATTTTACCTTTCTTTCATGCTGTGCAAAGAAAAAGCAACCTCTTAATCCAGATATCTTTTTTTTATAACTATAATGATCATATAAAGATGTGCCTTTACCTCACTGGTTGTAGAAAAAGCTTCTTATATTCGTTAGCATAGCTAGTTAACCAGATGCTAATAACAACAAAGTTATTGACTGTATGATCAGTATGACAGATGAACAGATCGCTACTGGGCTTTCAACTAAAGACACAGCCACGCAAAAACTGCGGCATGTATACGGCTCCTTATGGGTACTGCAATTTCTGAATTGCTGGAGCGGCGTTCTGGTGCTCTCCGTCAGAACTACACCGCTGTCAGACGAGACCTATGGACGAGACATATACCACGTAATGACACGTTAGGCTCGTGTTATGTTCAATGACCCTGAACTTGGCCAGGAAAAACAGGCACTCGCTTGTTTAATTATTTTGCGGTCTATATTTCTTACATTTTTTTCTTTTTTGCGCGTGTTTATAAATTACCTCGAGGGCCGTACCAAATGGTCTTGCGGCCCGGAGGCCGGAGGTTCCCCACCCCTGCACTATACAATAAGACTACCCTTATAAAGGATTCATAAAGAGTTTATAATTAGGTTATGAATTAGGTTGTAAACACTTTATTAATCATTAAGAACCATTTATAAACCACTTCTAACATAGTTTTCATACATCAACACAGGCTCACTATTTGGCAAGATGACTAAGCCTTATATTGGCTACTTAGCGGGAATCAACTCAGTGAACAACAGATACCAAGGATGCTGGCTGATGAAGAAGACGTAAGTAAGTAAGTAAGCTAAGTAGCCAATATAAGGCTTAGCAGTACAGATACATGTGGGCTCTCTATTTGGCAAGCAACCGGTCACAGTTGCCCTGTTTATCTCATGGCTTATAAAAGCTTATTAATGATTTATAAAGTGTTCACAACCTAATTCATAAATGAATTACAAACTATTCGTAAACCCTTTATAAGGGTAGTTTTATTGTAAAGTGGTACCGTATAATTCAATAGTTTATTTAACTTTCAAGTAACATCCAGGACTAGAAATCCAAGCTGAATCCGCCTAGTTCTGCTTTTCATCCAACTACGTCACTGTCACGTCAAATGAAGCAGATGGATGCAGGAAATATAAACGATTTTGCAGCTGCAACCTCAGCTTTCTCGGTCAATATAGAACACACTGAGGAATTTATCGCTTTTAATCAAATACATTTACCATCAACACTGATTGGGTATACATATGGCCCCCGTCAAAATGTACACTTTTGGCAGCTACCCAGGTTGAGATACATTTTTACAGTTTTTCTGGAGGAAAGCCTGCAAGTTATGGGTGTAGAAAAGAGAATGCATTTAATTTTCCAAGTAAGGGTTTTGCATGTTTCAGGAAAAGTCCTATTTGCATTGACAGTGCAGAGAAAGAGGAAGAAGACCCCAATAGAGCCGGATTAACTCCTCATATTGTAGTGGACATAACATGATCATTGACAAGGAAATGCATGTGATTGCTGTGTGATGCTGAGGGCCATTATTTCTGGATGACTAAAGTTATGCATGCAATGGGTATATAATGGGGTCTTACAACACTACTATATCAGGCCTTTTTCATTATATTGTATAACTGTGCATGCCATAATGAGCTTATGTGAACATGTGAACTTATCTGAGAATTTTGAGTCATGGTATACAGGTAGTGTTTTTATTTATATATATATATATATATATATATATATATATATATATATATATATATATATATATATATATATATATTGCCTATATTATTGCCTTACTCATAATACAAACTGTAAATATAATCATAACAGGCTTATATTAAAGGTCCCATGTCATGCTTTTCTGGTTATTACCCGTCCCCTTGTGTGTTACTGTATGAAGGTTTTTATGCATGTAAACGGTCTGCAGAGTAAAAAACCCTCAAAGTACACCCTGTAGCGAGTAAAACTCTAACACAGAAAAGACCTGCCTATGCTGCCCCAGAACGCCTCGTTGGAGATTTCTCATTTACCATTTGACGTCATGCGGTTCCCGGAACCAAAATGGACCAATCCGCGGAGCTCCTAACACACCAGGATCCCTTGGCGCGTCACTATCAAACGCAGTGGGGGGACCTTTAGCGTACATTTTCAACTAACAGGGAGTCCCATTGACTTGCATAGAGCTCCCTGGTTGGTAATAGACGAGTTGGGATCGCGGAGAAATGCTCTCCGCAGACCCATTCTCACAGCGTTTATAAACCTTTTTCTTACTCAATATCAAGCCACACTTATTGTTTTTACTTCGGCTGTGAGTGTTTGTGTGTGCTCAGGATGAGTTTTGCGCTGTCCCGCTGTATCGCCGACCCGGAAACCACACCAGTAAGCCAGCTCAGTGAGCAGCGAGCCTCGCAACGTCCCGACCAATCAGAGCACACTGGGCTCACAGGGAGGGGGGGGCAGGAGCTCCAACAAGCCGTTTAGGACAGAGAGTGAATACACATACTATACAGAGATGCTGTATGAGAAACCAATGTGATTTTGGAAAATTGCACAATATAAATCTATTTTAGTATACCTCAACAATGGAATTATGATCAGTAGAAATGGCCATGACATGGGACCTTTAATCGGTGTGCAATATACTGAGCATTTTGAAATCTCATTAGCATTTGAGCTCTCTGTGGAAAACAAATACATTATTGGTCTATGGGGATTTTCTCTAAAATTATAGAAAAAAACTTGAAAAAGCATAAATATCTACAAGAATATGCACATTTTTACACATGCATGGACTTATTATCAGTAACACCTGATGTGTACTAAAAAAAGGCAACAAGTACTAAAAAATGCACAGAAAACTTGAAAGACTGTTTTAAATATAAACATTCACAGCAAAACTATTCAACTGAATTATAAAGTTTTAAATGACTTGTGCTGATGTAACGTTGAGTGTCTGGTGTAAGCATGAGGGAATTTCCTTCACTGTGACTGAACACATTACAATTACAATTACTAGAGTACCATATCAAGTCAACCAAAGTCTATGGGCAAACGGTGGAAAATGTGATTTACTGTAAATACGGACAAATTAAGCGATGCAAAAGGCAGTGGAACAATGTCTAATATTGGAAACACTGTTAACAAGTGAAACACACATATCCGATAGTGAGAAAACTTACCTTACCGGCGTATTTACATCAATTGAAGTTACTATGGTGGGAAGTTGCTCACCTTTACGGCAGTTAAATAGCAGTTAATTTACAACCGGAAATTGTGAAAACAAGAGCGTCTACGCCACTATGCCTTCAAAATAAAAGACTCTACACAATACAACAATATTCTACTACAATTTAGTGAAGTGGAAGCTTTATATATACAGTCTATGAGTGGAAGTACAAAGTAGCATAACATGGAAATACTCAAGTTTTTCGAAGATGTATATTAATATAGCCTACAATATAAAAATGTTTGTGTTTTCTCCTTTGCTCTTCATTTCAAAGCTTACGTTAATGTTTCCGTTAAGACCGTTAGGATCTATCTTGCTTTGAAAGTTTAAACAACCGAAAGTGGTGTTTTCTGTTTTATCTAGCTTGACACAGTTGGAGGAGGAGTGAAACTTACGGTGGCGAAACATCGCGGAGAATAAGTTTATCGACTGCAGTCAAACTGTGACAGTCAAACAGTCAAACAGTGTTAACATGTCTGAGTGTTTCCCTTCTTCTTGACGGCGGAGAGGCAGCGTTTTCATGATGTCGGTCACCACAGTGGAGGCGTTTCCATGATGGCCAAACTGAGGAGCAAACTTTAAACAAGGAGTCTTCTCTTATGCCCGTTATCACCTTAATATAAGCAACACCACCATGGCATACTCTACTTTTATCTCCATATTAGCTTTTAGTTTGTACTTCGGCGTGTCCAAGTGTTACTTCGCGATACCGCTGAAGATTTACCCGGGGAAGTTGAATGTGTCCTCGGAGCTGAGTCGCAGGGTGGTGTTGACGGTCGATGGGACCGATGGGACCGGCCTCTCGCTGGCCTCGGACCCAAGCGGCACCGTGGACTTCCTGGACATGGTGGACAACCTGCAGGGAGACTCTGGGAGAGGCTACTACATCGAGATGGCTCTTGGTACTCCTGGGCAAAAGGTAATGTTATCACCAGTGGAGGAAGAAGTACTCAGATCTTGTACTTGAGTAAACGTAGATAGAAGTACCAGAGTGTAGGAATTATCTTTGTTACAAGTAAAAGTCCTGCATTCAAAATGTTACTCAAGTAAAATTACAAAAGTATTGTCATCTAAATATACTTAAAGTACTCATTATGCAGATTGGCCCATTACTTCTGGTTCTTTAAGTATATTCTATTGCTAATACTGTTCTACTTTTAGTGTAGGCATTTTCTGTTGCAAGTAAAAGTCCTGCATTCAAAATGTTACTCAAGTAAAAGTACAAAAGTATTGGCATCTAAATATACTTAAAGGAGTCATTATGCAGATTGGCCCATTTCAGAATCATATATCATGTATGTATTGATTATAATTGTTGATGCATTGATGTGTTGTAGGTACTTTGTAGATATGGATCAATGATAAACAATATGATCAACACTAAAATAAGACTGTAGATACACATGGAGTAAATACACATGCTACCGAGCAGAACATACAGTAATAAACATTTGTTCCACATTTACCAGCTTTGAAAAACGTATCAATAAATTATAATCAAAACAAATATGATTCTGAAATGAGCCAATCAGCAAAATGACTTACTTCTGGTTCTTTAAGTATGTTCTATTGCTAATACTTTTCTTCTTTTACTGAAGTAACAATTTGATTGCAGGACTTTTAAAACAGAGTATTCCTAAACTCTGGTACTTCTACTTTTACTTAAGTCCAAGATCTGAGTACTTTTACTACCTCTGTAAGTCTGTTTGTGTGTTTAAATCTTTAGTCATTGTATTTACACAGGCTCATGTGTTAGCAGTGGTGGAAAGTAAATTAACTCAATATTTATTTCCATTTATACTACTTTTTAATATTTTTTCTCCACTACATTTCTTTTTACTCACTACATTTATTGATGACAGGATTAGTAACTTTAGCAGGGTTCATATTATTAATACAAACATTAAATCAACTAAAACATTATGATGTACTATTATAGCTGGAGATACCTGGCATATACATAGTCGTACAAGTTATGAAATCCTTTACCAGTTGCAAAAATAAAATGATTAACCTATTAATGCATCACACAAATACATAGTATTCCCAAAATGGCCACTTTTGATAATGAGTGCTTTTAAACTTAAGTATATTTTTATATCTTGTAACAGAGTATTTTTACACTGCAGTATAATTACTTAAACTTAAGTTTTAAGATCTGAGTACTTCTTCCCCCACTGGCTATATTCAGCCCCTTGTCTGGCATTTTCTGTCTGCTGTGTGTGAACAGGGGCTGTCCACCATGTGACCGTGTGAAGGGGCTGAGTGTGTCTGTTTCACCCCAGGGCTTCCTATTCAGGCCATTTTTTATATTAAATTACAAGGCATATTACATGGCTGTTTGATATGACCCACATATTAGAACAAGGACTTGGGTCATGGGAAGATTAAACAATTTTTCTAACACTTAAATAAATAAAATCAGTTGATTATTTGGAGGCCTGTCTGGAAACATGGCTGTGGGCTGCTGCAGCTGGATCAGGACTTTACAGCCCTGGGGTCTGTAGGTAGACTAAAGCCCGCTCACATGCACTCACATGATGCTGCCTGTGAGGACCTCTGTTTCTAAGCAGGCAGCTGACGGGATTATGAGGCTCCCAGGGAGCAAAGAGCTCCACAGTTGTGCAAAACAGCCCTGATCCAGGCATAGTTGAATCCTATTTTCTTGTGATTGCACATGTGCTTTTTAAAATATATTTACTATTCAGTGAGTGACAGTGCACTTTAACCAACATGTTATACCCCAATATAAATGTAACCGAGTTAGTTAATGAGCTCTGTAGTCTATAGGCAGGCAATTAAATCCAATGTGTAAAAAAAAAATGAGGAAGTATGATTAGTCCTGGTTGCATGTTTGCTTTCCTTAAAGCCATCTTTTAATTTACAATTTATTCTGCGTGTTATGTAAAATGCCTAACAAGATCATATTAATGATTAAGAAGGACTGAATGGTCCCGGAAGAGTCGGCAGAGGGATTTTCCCGTCGGTATTAAAAATACATGACACTTCAGGGTGTTGTAGGTTTAAAGCTGCATGTTGTAAGAAGATGTGTTTAAAAAGGAGATTAAGCCAAAGGTGAATTATCTCATTAATGGCTTCTCTTCTTCTCAGGTTAAACAGATCACAGTGTCTAAGACGTTGGGTGCTCAGTTTCTCAGGCTCTCCGAGGCTTATCGGTGGTGCCTGCCCTGTGTCAACCTCTAAGAGGATAATGCAGAACTTGTAAAAGCAAAGTTCCCACACAACCTCACAACCAACCTTTAGTTGTACTTTGGAAACAATGCCCTAATATCTGCTGTTCTGATCAAACAACACTGTTTAAATGGTTGCTTATTATAAGAGGAAATTGTCCAAACTATAATCTGTTCAAAGCAATATTGAATTCCTGTTGATAATGCTCGGACAGCATTAAAAGCGTGAATAGGATTACCTTTAAGCGGGCACATGTGTGGTTTCTTAATAGCTATCAACAGTAAACAGATAAATAACAGCACATGTATTATAATTGGACTCTTTCGTGATTAATCCCCAGTACATGAAATGATCAAATCATGATAATGCTACTAACTTACTCAAACAAATCCCATTTTATTTAGCAACTCAAATCTGAAGTTACAAAATAAGTACATAAAAAGAACATTTTTAACACATTTATTGTTGTTTTTTTACTTGTCATAGCATGAAAAAATGCTTGTACGTGCGCGTATTTTCAGGTTCACATTTTATGACATGTTTCCATGTTTTAATGCTTAGGGATGTCCCGCCCCTTAGCCTGTCACGTACAATGTGTTGTAACGCCAGCCAATAGAAGCACACGTTTTGCGTTGTGATGTCATTATGTCACGGAGGTAATGCTATGGAGCTGTACATCACAATTTATTGGAGTTATAATTTAAAGAATGGATGAATGAAATGGTTTCACCTTTGGATATTCCTCCTCATATTTTCCAGCTTTATAGTCATGTGCCCCGTGCATAGTGAAACGTTCATATCAGTTTAAAGTGTTGAACAATTATTTAGAATATCATTGAAATCTCAATATGGACCAGATCAATGTTCGCATCACAGAAAACGGGATATGTGTGAAAATAGCACTCTGGATTTTCTATCGTGATGATGAAGGGATTTCCAGGCATACAAATCGTATCGACAAAAATAATAATTGTTAATAACATGATCATTTTAATATTTTTTTTCAATGAAAATAATAACACTGATGTAAAAATGGTCATTCCCTCATATATTGTGAATAATACCGCAACTTTAAAATCAATCAAAAACAACCGCAGTTAGATATATTTTCCAGATCGTTCTTCCTCATCAGTTATTCATGCCAGCAGAGCTCACTTCACTTTGGTTGGATTTGGTTATACCGTGCCAAAATGTCCTGTAACTCAATTCTATTGAGTTATTCTCTCAATATTATTCCATCTAAATGATGATGTGATAACAGGGCCGCGGTGTTAAATGAGGCTCTATTCAAATGAGCCTGTAATTGCGACATCTGTTAGCGTGTGGCACAGCCAGGCTGAGGTGTCGAATGGAGAGCCTCACATCTGCTAATTGGTACAAACAGGTAGCAGATGCACAATGCCGCCATGGAGCCTCTGCCAATTAAACAGCGAGCGCTCATCTGCAGCGGGGGTGGGGATTTGCCCGAGGCTCAGTAGCCGAGCTGAGGGAGGATAGCAGAAGAATAGAAAAGATAGACGTGTGGGGATAAGGAAATGCCCCTGCTTCCCCTCCCTCACCACAAGGTTTCAGTATCTGGCCTGTTTGTCCGGTTCAGGCCTGGTGTGATTGGAGGGATGCCATCTGCAGGTTTTCCATGGCACAGTCACAGTGATGGGCCTCGCGCCCGGCCAAGGAGGATGAACTGATAAGCCTGACTCCCACAGACCGGCCAACTGAGGCTTCCTGTGCCCAACTTGATGACACATAATTACTGTTTCCCTTATTGTGTTATAATGACTTCATGCACACCTGAGTATCAAAGTGGCAGTGGGTTACAAGGAACTATGTGTGCTACTTTCGAGGTTCCACATTGATATCAGGCCTTCGGATAATCTAAACATCGTAATAATTGCATAACTGCACCTTAAAAAGTCACAAAAAAAAGTTTTTATTACATTAAATGTAGCTGACACGTTTATCTAAAGCAATTTAAGATTAAGGTTAACCTTTATTCTTACATACACTAACATACCAATTTGGTGTACTGTGACATGTCTCCATGCTTTAATGTTCAAAAAGCTCTTTATTTTTCTCATACTGCCTGTTCAGCAGCACCTCTTTTCACCCTCTGTCTGAAACCAGAGCCCAGGCTGCTCTGATTGGCTAGCTGGCCAGCTCTGTTGTGATTGGTCAACCACTTAGAGATGTCCCGCCCATTAGCCTATTACGTACAATGTGTTGGAGTGCTAGCCAATAGAAGCACAAGTGTTACAGAGTGATGTCACTATGTTCAGGAAGTATATAAATGAGTGCAATGGTGGCGTTTCAGGCAGGGGGAGGGAGTGGGAGAGAAACTCCCTCTGGAGGGAACACAGGGATTTTAGCCTTTGCAGACCATTTACATGCACTAAAACCTATAACACACTACAGGGAAGGAAACACCCCAGAAAGCATAATAGGGCCTCTGCAAGTATCTGGTCCAAAGATGCTCTTTTAAAGCTAATGCCATAGCACTTAAAATGGTTTGGCTGATTCGTTCTTGCTCTTCTGAATGTGTATCCTCTCGGTGGATTGCATTTCCTTCAAGTTGCTTTGGATGAAAGCATCGGCTAAATGTCATGGTATGTAGTGCAGTATAAAGATGAGCAGGCTCTAATAAGACATGGTTTGAATGTAATAGCCTTGAGCAACTTAACTTGAGGAAGTCTTCATTTCATTGTTGGAATTCCTTGTTCCTTGCTTGTCAAACACTTTTAAATAAACGACTTCCTGCTGTTCTGGTCTTCCTAAAACAATGTGAGCCAAAGAGGCAGATAGCCATGACAGATTGACTGTAGCGGGAACATGAACGCTTTTTTTTTGGTGTTTTTCATGTACATCCATAGACTGTGTCATGTGACATTACTGAAGAGCCACAGTATAGACGTCTTTGTTGTTCAGTCATCAGTTGGCTACGGAGCATTAGCTTTATGACCCCGTCATGGTGAGGAATGTGAGTGTAAATGTGGCCCCTGCTCAGAAGGGGAGGTGACAGAAGTCTGCAAGCTAATTAGTTCCTGCTCATTTATTTAATGCCTGCAGGCAACATTATCCCAACTGCTGTTAGCTGGTCCCCACTGTGCGCATGACACACACCAGGAGGCTGGAGAGGTCATAAAGGCATGTCAGTAACCAGAGGCAGGCACATTTGTCTCATAGATCACACATTAGAGAGCAATTAAATCAGAGGTTCATAGTCATGTCTGCACTTTGTGTAACACTGCAATCCCTATACAAATGTGCAGTACTACAGTCAGTGTTTTCTTTTGCACCTGATGTTTATTTAGCAAACATGTTGGCACCGCTGTGGACGTTTGATAGTCTTCATTGTGTGTCTTTATTATTTCCTCTCCTCAATATTTCCAGTTGACTTTCCTTATAAGTTTATTTACTGTGAATGTTCTTAATGTCCTCCACATCTGACCATCTGGCCTTTTTAAAAGCTTAAAGTGTTCCTATTAATAGGTCACCCTGTCTAACTGCTGTTATTTTTGACCCTGTGTCTCAGGAGGAGCTGTGTAAGCGAGGGTGGGGTTGGAGTCAGATCCCTGTTAACATTAACTCTGTGTGTTTTTCAGGTGAACATCCTGGTGGATACGGGCAGCAGTAACTTCGCCGTGGCTGCAGCTTCACACCTATTCATTACTCACTACTTCAACACTGCACTGTGAGTCACACACACTCTTGGATATATCTCACACACAATATTGAATTTAGTTATTTGTATACCTTGTATGATCTTCACCGTAGCATTTCCATACAACTTATTACATGGTATTGCTATGGGGACGGGAGATATAGATTCATTATTACATTTATTTGGTTTATTATTTTTCCGGTGCTCTATATTGTATATCATGTCATCAACTTCAGTTAGTTGTCGCAGTGGAAAGGACACGGGTTTAAAATAAAATAAAATATGTGTCTGTTTATTATTAGATAAATGCTAGCTAGTCTGTTTAGTTCCGAAAATGATATCACTTTACTGTAAGGCAAGTGTATTATGTAAGACAACAGATCAACGTGACTTAAAGGTCCCATGTCATGGCCATTTCTACTGATCATAATTCCATTGTTGAGGTCTACTAAAATAGATTTATATTGTGCAATTTTCCAAACTCACATTGGTTTCTCATACAGCATCTCTGTATAGTATGTGTATTCACTCTCTGTCCTAAACGGCTTGTTGGAGCTCCTGCCCCCCCCCCCCCTCCCTGTGAGCCTGGTGTGCTCTGATTGGTCGGGACGTTGCGAGACTCGCTGCTCAGTGAGCTGGCTTACTGGTGTGGTTTCCGGGTCGGCGATACAGCGAGACAGCGCGAAACTCATCCTGAGCACACACAAACACTCACAGCCGAAGTAAAAACAATAAGTGTGGCTTGATATTGAGTAAGAAAAAGGTTTATAAACGCTGTGAGAATGGGTCTGCGGAGAGCATTTCTCCGCGATCCCAACTCGTCTATTACCAACCAGGGAGCTCTATGCAAGTCAATGGGACTCCCTGTTAGTTGAAAATGTACGCTAAAGGTCCTGGTGTGTGAGGAGCTCCGCGGATTGGTCCATTTGTGGTTCCGGGAACCAAAATGGACCAATCCACAAATGGAAAAAGAGAAATCTCCAACGAAGCGTTCTGGGGCAGCATAGACAGGTCTTTTCTGTGTTAGAGTTTTACTCGCTACAGGGTGTACTTTGAGGGTTTGTGACTCTGCAGACCGTTTACATGCATACAAACCTTCATAACACACAAGGGGACGGGTAATAACCAGAAAAGCATGACATGGGACCTTTAAGAAATTGAGTGGCTCAGTCAGTAGGGGCTTGGACTGTGAGCCGTAGGGTCGCTGGTTCAAGTCCCCGACCAGACCTAAATATGGAGTGTGGACTTCTACTTGGAGAGGTCCCAGTTCACCTCCTGCCCTGCCGTGGTGCCCTTGAGCAAGGCACCGGACACCCCCCTTCCCCCCCCCACTCCCATTGCTCCCCGGGCGCTGTACAATAGCTGCCCACTGCTCCTAGTACTAGACTCCTTGTACTAGGATGGGTTTAAAAGCAGAGGCCAAATTTCACTGTGTGTGCTGTGTGCTCTGCATGTGTGACCATTAAAGAGGGTTTCATCCCTCCCTATTCTTCTATTCTATATTAAGGATAAAAAATGTGTCCTGCTAGTAATCCCCAATTTTTTTTTAAAAATCAAACAGTAATCTGATTACATCTTCTTTGATGTAACTGTAAAGGAATACAGTTAGCTTGTTTGTATCCTGATTGCGTTATCCTTTTACATGTAATCTGTTACTCCCAAAGCCTGAATACCTCAAATGTAGCGTTCTAGCTCCCTACCACAGGCCTTTATGACTGTTCTCATGTCTGCCCCTGTGTTCAGCTCCAGTACATACCAGTCAGTTGGCCGGACTGTGGGTGTCAGATACACGCAGGGAAACTGGGAAGGTGAACTGGGCATCGACCGCGTCTCCATCCCCAACGGCCCCAACGGGACCTTCATCATCAACATCGCTGCCATCCTGTCCTCCGAAGGCTTCTTCCTCCCCGGGATCAACTGGCAGGGCATCCTGGGACTGGCTTATCCCATGCTGGCACGGGTAAGAGATTTTAAAATGTAGAGTAGCTGATACTTTGATCAAAAGTGACTTACAATCAACCATGACAGTATAAATTCACAACGGCAAGAGTCATTTGCAGATGCACTGGTCAAACCATCCAAAAAACCACATGTAAGGTTTATTCTACTACATTTAGTCTATTTGCAGAAGTAACAGACACATTGAAAACTTAAGAGTGAGCACACAGAGAGCATAACAAAAAGTGATTCTGAATTATTTCATGACTTCCTGCTGTCACACATGTCTGTTAAACATGAATAACTTTTTTAAACTGAGATCTTATCCGGGTGTAGTCACGGACCTTTCACATGGCAACAGAAACAGTTTTGTGTTTATGATTTTCAGCTGCAAGGCGTATTAAGAACATCTTTTTCTTTAATATAGATTTCCAGTTTAAGTTGCTTTGCGTGTGCTTTGGATATTTAGTGTTGAAGGGACTAAAATCACGTAAACCGGCACAATGCATTCTTTCATTCTGTGCCGACTACAGCGACTTTTAGGACCAAACGCCAGTGATCGCTGGGCAGATAAACGCACACTGACCACTTTGTTCTGCTGCCGTCTCCTCAGATTAAACGTCTGGTCATGCATGATATGATAACACAACACTGACATGAAAACCTAACAGCAGGGAGAGCATCCTCACACCATCGCACACATGTGCTCAGAATATCGTTTCAATCAGAACTTCAATTAGCTAGCGCTCCAACACATTGCAGGTGATAGGCTAAGGGGCATATTTAAGCAGTTAACCAATCGCAACCGAGAGAGAGCAGACTTAGCTCTGGTTTCAAGGGAAAATGTAACATCTTATAACATGAGTTCATTATTTCACACTTTCTCTCATCTAGCCTGACTCGTCCGTGGAGCCCTTCTTCGACTCCTTGGTGCAGCAGCTGGGAATCCCAGACATCTTCTCCCTCCAGATGTGCGGTGCTGGGCTGTCAGCCAGCAGCACAGCGGACCCCATAGGAGGCAGTCTTGTGAGTAGTCAGGAGGGGCTGAAAAAGAGCTTTGACTGTAAAGTTTGCTCAAAGAACAAACCTCTGACCCAAACAGTCTGTGGAACATCATATTGGAAGTAAACTTCACGACATCATTTTAAAGTTACTAAGTATTATGGTGATTGAGATTATTAATGCAAAATGTAAAAATAAAGAAATAATTGTGCATTAATAAAGGTAAATCTAACCAGCAGAATATAAGGTATCTTAGAATTGCACAACGGCATACCTAGCAACTGACAATAACTGCAGTTAACCATAAAGATACAAACTCGGAACAACAAGAAAAATGCATAAATATACTCACTTCCAATAGGCCATACCCTCGTTAGTGCTGGTGCATTGGTTTAAAAAGCAAGTTGGTGGATACCTGGGTCGCATTCGCAGTGAAGGACAAGCACGTCGATTTGGTTTTAGAAACAACTTTTGTTAGATTTTAAAAACATAAAAGCTGGTGTCCTCCTCAGTGTGGTTCCTCTCCTGCAGGCCCGGTGTACTTAGAGTAGAGCTAATTAGGCTAAGATAGCATCCTGCTGAGAGCAGGTCTGTCACTGTAATACTCCAGCAGGTGACCCACTGACTCAGGCAGATGGATCACATGGCAGGGAGCTTGGGTTTATGAGTTCCCCTTAAATTGTAGGGAGTATATACACTTAATACAAATAATACTTATTTAGAATTATGTCTAAAAACACGAGTGGATAGGAGGGCAACTATTCTCATTGTGACAACCATTTTGTTTCACTTTTGGTAGCCTATATTATTTTTTCTAAATTGAAATACATAAATGCATTCGTGCTGCTTGTCCTTACACACATTAATACTGATTACTGCAATTCTGCCATTAGCGACAATGCTAATGGCAGAATGGGTGGACCCTGAACAGCTGTACCAAAAATGTGCTTTGCATGTGTCAAAATAAATGTATTTATAATTAACACAACATATCATGATGGTCAATCAACGTTCTTTCTCAGCCTCGGAACAGATTATATTGTGTGAAGCCAAAAAAAAAAGGAAATATTGTGAAAATAATCATGAACGTGTCGACTTAACACTTGAATTGATGACTTAACGGCCCGTCCACACGGCGGCGTGCGTTGAAGCTTCAACGCAGCTTACCATTCACTTTGAATGGGGTGACGTCACGCTTTGCCGAACTGCATTGTGGTTCCGTCGCTTCGCTTTGTCTCCGTTGCTCGCTTCAAAAGTTGAGAAAAGTTCAACTTTTGAAGCTTCGACGGAAGCGTCAGCCAATCAAATCATATGCCAGTACAAGCGCTAGCCAATCAAACCGCGTGCTTGTGTGTCCGGGGCGGGAGATTCATGTGATTGGTTGTTGGTCGAGCTTCAGACACGCCCGCCGGCAAGCTTCAATGCACGCCGCCGTGTGGACGCTGCATTATGGTGAACTAGAAAAATTGTTAGTCGAGGGCAGCCCTAATTCTTGGTAATGAAGTGATGTTTTTCACCCATGTATTTAAAGCCTGCATGAAAATCTTAGTTACAGTATAATGCACGGAGTGAAGTATCAACAGTGTAATTTTCTTTACTTATCCATCTTCAGAACATTTGAGTTACACCACAGCAGGCTCACATATACTAACTTAGTGCCAGTGTAATCAGATTTTCTTAGCACTATGAAAGTCTTTGCCGAAGTCCTTCATCTTTCTTTGATCCATGACGTTTTACCTCGAGGTCCAGGAAAATACATATTTTTGACTTGCTGGTTTTGACGCATATTTGTGTTCTTCCTCAGATCATAGGCGGGGCTGAGCCGGCTCTGTATCAGGGGTCCGTGTGGTACACCCCCATCGTAGAGGAGTGGTACTATCAGGTGGAGGTTTTGAAGCTGGAGGTGGGCGACCAGAATCTGGACCTGGACTGCAGAGAGGTACACTTCAAACTAATGCATTCCTTAAAGCAGAAAAGTCGATTGTATCAAGAGTAATACCATGGTTTGGAGGGTTATTCTGTTATAACATCCTCCTCAGCAGCCTGTTGAACTGAACTGCTCTTACACTGCACTTCTCCGTCTCTTCAGTACAACATGGATAAAGCTATAGTCGACAGCGGGACGACACTGCTGCGTCTTCCTGCCAACGTCTTCAATGCGGTGGTAGACGCCATCACACGCACCTCTCTGGTAAGTGATGAAACGTGTTGTCAGAGGGAAGCGATGCAGGGGAGGATAGCTCACGCTCAGCGCTCAAGGACGCAGAAGCTTTGACGGGAAGGATCACACGTTTTCCCGCTGTAAAAAATATGTGTGTGCATGCCTGTTGTTTTTCCTCCTCCTCCTGCTGCTTTTCACATTTTAGTTTCTGCACACAAACAGAAGCCCAAGGTTAATTGGAACCTTGAAGCAACATTTTTAATTAATGGACCTTGCAGATGAATCCCACGTGGGTAAATGAAAGGAAACAGAAACCCTGTGTTGTTGCTGAACTGACCTTCTGTTTCTGTCTGTTCCTGTGTTGTTTCTCTTTGGTTCAGATCCAGGACTTTTCATCAGGGTTCTGGGATGGCACCAAGTATGCGTGCTGGTTGAAGGGAGAGACACCCTGGAGGTTTTTCCCCAAACTATCCATCTACCTGAGGGCCACGAACACCAGCCAGTCCTTCCGCATCACCATCCTGCCTCAGGTACCTGGATGAACACAACATCCCATCACCCCGAGGGACACAAACCCTCCTCGGTACTCATTCTCCTCTGTCGTCTCGCAGCTGTACATCCAGCCAATCACAGACGTGGACGGCACGCTGGACTGCTTTCGTTTCGGGTTGTCGTCGTCAGCCAATGGCCTGGTGATCGGTGCTACCGTTATGGAGGGCTTCTACGTGGTGTTTGACCGAGCCCAGCGGAGAGTGGGCTTCGCTCTCAGTAACTGTGCAGGTGAGGGTACATGAGACGACTATTGATAAGAGATAAAGGGTCTGGAAAACATATCATTTAATGATTCCCAAAACTGTAAATTAACTAATTGGTTATTGTGTATCTCAAAATATGGTTAGAATGGTAATCTGCCAACAAGAGTGTATTTCTCCATGAAGTATTACAGATTGTTATGGCCACTCGCGCTTCTATTGGCTAGCGCTCCAACACCCTGTATGTGATGAGGCTAAGGGGCGGGACATCTCTAAGCGGTTGTCCAATCTCAAAAGAGCGGGCAGCTAACCAATCAGAGCAGACTGGGCTCTGGTTTCAGACAGAGGGTGAAAAGAGGTGCTGCAGCACAGGCAGTATGAGAAAAATAAAGAGCTTTTTCAACATTGAAGCATGGAGACATTCACAAAGTAACAGTAGAAGCACTAAATACAAAAATGAACCTGAAAATGACCATAATATGTCCTCTTTAACTTCCCTTGTTCAACTGGTTACTTACGGAGAAGCAAATGGCAAAGTATTATTTACCAGTACTCGCAGGTTCACTGACCATAACCCTGAGTATATCCTGTTAATCAAGTACATGTTCAACCTTAGCAGCTTTCCTATGTTTCTATGTAAATATGAACTTGGGCGAGGCTTTCCTCTCTTTTCTTAAAGTACAAAGATCACTTTTGTTCCGTATTAAGCAAACAGACTGAAGGATGCAGGCTTGTGACAGGAGGGTTGCCAGCTTTAGTTTCTGTACTGGCTGGTTCAATCTCAAAAGAAAATAATTGTTCTCATCCTCAAATGTTAATGAGTCGCCTTTGAGTAAAACAAATACCCTTAAATGAAAAAGCCACCTCAAGTAAGTATCATGTGAGCGATTATTCATTTAGTTTTACAAAAACGATATGTATGCACACGTTTGAGATACATTTGTTTAACTGTATTTAGGACTGAAATTATACTAATTATATAGTGCATTTGTCGAGTCTGGGGGCATCAGGAAGAAGCATGGGGGTTTTGTCTTAACCGCCATTGGAGTCAGCTTCTCCCTGTTAAGATTAATGTAAAAACACTGAATAAAGCAGTTTCACATTAAAAAAAATCAGTGTTTTTGAGATGCGGCTCATGCAACAGATGTTTCAAAGGGGTTGCGGTTGGAGTTGTGCTAACATTTCCTCAGCTTGTATCTATGAAAATGTAAAAGACAAATCATTACAGTCTTAAAACTGGATGACATTTATGACAGACTTTGGGAGGAGTGCCTCGGAGAGAAATTTTAGCATTTGCAGACCACAAAAACGTATAGAACACACTACAGGAAAGGGAACAGCCCAAAAGAAGAATAGGGGCTCTTTAACACACTTTCCTATCCTGTGTTCCTCCTCAGTGAGCGGGGGGGTGGCCCTCTCAGAGATCGCGGGGCCCTTCTCAGCAGCAGACGTGGCGGCTAACTGCTCCATGGGGCCTCAGAAGGAGCCCCTCCTCTGGATGATCTCCTACGCCCTGATGGCGGTGTGCGCGGTGATCCTGGTGGTGCTGCTGCTGCTGCTGCTGGTGCTGCCCTGCCGCTGCAGAGCGCGCTCCGGGGAGATCACCGACGAGTCCTCGCTGGTCCGACACCGCATCAAGTGACTGAGAGGGAACGGGCCGAGGAGCAGCGAGCAACACACACAATCCACGGAGGCGGAGAAAGTTGTGACGCTCGCCGCCGAAAGCCTGACTGACACTAAACTGCACTCTTCAGTTTTACCCCATGGAGGTACACACAGACAGATAAACTGACCCCTGATGGGAAAATCCACCACAAAAACATTGCCTTAAAAACATTGCCTAAAAACAGCTGTTGTGGTCTTCATGGTTCAAATGTCTTCTTTGATGGTGCCTCTTTCTTGTTCTCACAACATGTCATATGTGACATAAAGAAAATATGCAATTTCTACTACACCGACTGCAGCTTTAAAAAAGTTCATAACGTTTGTAGCTACAGAACAGTTTTTACTGATGGGTATGAGTTGCTTTTTCTCACCTGGAAACTCTTCAATTTGAGTGTAGTTTGAGAGAGCACTAAAATCCAACTCGTGCTTTTTTTCTTGAGACCTCGCAAAAGGTATTCTGGGAAATGTAGGACATCCTCCTTACAGACAATCACAAGATGCTTACCAACAATTGATGCATTTTGAACAATTTTATAACTACTGATTTTTTTCTCTCTAGGCAAACAGTGTTTTATTAATGTCTAAATGCACGACCTGACAACAATGTGCCCTCTCTGTCTGATTTACTACAGTGTGTGATCAATGAAGGAATGCTTCTGGTGCCTTCTTATATAAAGTGGTGCAGGAATTATGTTTTTTTTTGTAGGCCATCCAAGAAGTTAGTATGGCAAAGGGCTCCCTCAACAAAAAGCAGTTCGATTTTTCTTTGGATTTTGCAGAAATATTAACTCTTAATATTACATTTCTGAAGTAAAAAGCTATTAGGCTATAAAGAAACTACAGTACGGTCATATGACTTCACATCACTAGGCTAAAGGCGGCTAATGTTCGGTGTGATGACGTTTAGTCGTCTCATTTAGACACTTGTTAGCAACCGCTGTTTTGTCGACGGTTGCGACTTTGAGTAAAGCGGAGGTGGTAAAATGCTGACCCATTTCCGTCTATACGGACCACTCTATTTTGAAGTTAGGTTCAATTGAAAGCCTGCCTGTGTGTGTGTTGAAGTAGAGAAAAGCTGCTCAAACGATCACTGTTATTAGAAGAATATTTGTTCACACGTTTACAGATCCTGTAGTGCCTTTGAGTCTCTCTGCTGACACACTGGCCGTTTCTCAATGTCGAGTATACCTGCTGCAGAGCCACTATTTCAAGTATACTACGTCAGCGAGTGCCGCCGAATGCTGGGCATTTAACATGCATTTAAAACAGTCCTTCGGCGCCACTCGATGACGTAGTATACTTGAAATAGTGGCTCTGCAGCAGGTGTACTCGACATTGAGAAACGGCTGCAGATACACACAATCAGCTGTTGGAGACGTCATCTGCTGAAATGCACTTTGTTTCTTAAGTCAATCAAAAGTGTATAATGAAACTAGAGATCAGTATTTTTTGATCTGTTATGCAATGTAATGTATTAATGTAATTGTACTACTAATTCTGTCTACGTTTATGTAAATGTGATTGTATTGTAATCCCAAATCGTTAATTTTTAGACACTTCTGTAGGTATTTATACTGCATTTCTATTTTATACAAACACTACAATTAGAGGCAACATTATTTTTGAATATGACACAAACACACACTCCTTCAGTGGACTACGATTAGCTGTGCTGGAGTGTGAGCAATAAAACATTAGGTGTCATTTTACACTAGTGACAGGTCATACGTATACTTTAATGAGTAAATATGACGCATGCTACAGTAGATCTCAATGTCTTTCAAAATTCAAAGTTGTCTTTGAATGTTGGCTTATTTATAAGTGATATCTTTGGTGCCAAAATCGTGCTTGTGCCGCAAAAACTTGTGACCAAATCAAAAAAGTAATGTAATAAATGAAAATGAATAAAGAAAAGATGTCTTTGTGTGAGAAAAATTCAAGAACAAAAGCATCCTTTAGGAGACAGTGGGGACAAGTTTGATGTGACTTCCGAGACAAATCTTGTGGTTTTTACATTTAATGGCTAACATACATATTAAAGGGCCCATGTCATGGCCATTTCTACTGATCATAATTCCATTGTTGAGGTATACTAAAATACATTTATATTGTGCAATTTTCCAAAATCACATTGGTTTCTCATACAGCATCTCTGTATAGTATGTGTATTCACTCTCTGTCCTAAACGGCTTGTTGGAGCTCCTGCCCCCCCCTCCCTATGAGCCCACTGTGCTCTGATTGGTCCGCTCGCCCACTCTGTTCTGATGAGTCCACCACCGTTACAGCTGAACATCAGTGTTTATGTGTTACAATGGCGTTTGTTAGCAACCATAAAATGACACCAGTAATGACAAACAGATGAGAATGCTGCGTGGGGTCTGGGTGCCGTGTTGGCGGGACGTTGCGCGGCTCGCTGCTGCGAGGAGCGGACAGTGTGAGCTGGGTTCATTTCCTGCTTGCTGCGTGGGGTCTGCGAGACTGCGAGACGTTGCGAATGGACGCGGGAAGGAGGGGATGCTGAGGGGGCTGCAGCACCCCCATCTGCAAGGCTCCACTAGCACCCGCACTCCACCTGCTTGTATTGAGAATACAAAGTGTAGATATTAATCCTGTAAATTAGACAAACAGAACACGGAGCATTAAGTGGAATCTGATATTTGTTGTTGTTTGCTACCTCTGCGACCCCGGATAAGCGGGAGAAGATGGATGGATGGATGATATTTGTTTAATTGCATTTAGAAATATATATATATTTTTTTTACCTTCATCTGATGATAAATCCAGTCCAGGAAGTACGTGACGTTGCCATAAACTCCTGGTCTGTTCGGCTCTTTGCAGTGTTCCCCCCAAATATTGTCCCCTATGAGCCACCATACTCCGTCCTTCAGGGACACCAGAGGACCACCGCTGTCAGTCTGAGACGAAACACAAGTGATATTTTTATAAACTACAGACTATAGATAAGTGCTAGAACACGATATTCTACTTAAGTAAAAGCAGCAATACTACACTGTAAAAACACTCAAGTAAAAGTCCTGCATTTAAAATTATACTCAAGTAAAGTACAAATCATCAAAATATACTTTAAGGGGCCCTTTTATGCTTTTTTAGGTGTTCCCTTTCCTGTAGTGTGTTAAAAAGACATTTTTTTTACATTTTGAAAAAAAACATTTTGAACATATTGATGCAAAGATCTGCGCTATTCTGAGACCCTCACAGTATTCCAGTCCCTTTTCAAAACTCATCTCTTCTCCTCTTGTCTACTCATAGCCCACCCCCCATCAATCCATGCCGGTTGATCAAGTTTGATAGTCCTATACCCCCCACCCTAACCTTCCCTTATATTGTAAAGCGATTTTGAGTCCTTGAAAAGCCCTATTCAAATATAATGTATTATTATTATTATTATTATTATTATTATTATAATACTGACAGGTATCAGATCTTGCTGTGTAAAATAATCTTCCTGAGAGGTGTCACTTGTGATGTAGTCTGTGTGGTCTACATTGAATGTATTCCTGACAGCAACAGGTGATAAGAATCAAAAGATCCCATAGAAAATGCATGCGGGTCATTTTTGACCCACTTATGGAAGCTTTGGGTAGTAATACAAAAACTACAATTTCTTAAAATTTAAATTTAAAATTTGATATCCAAAACATGTTTTTTGAGGAATAGCTGGAATATGAAATGATAAAAAAATGTAATTACAAAGATACTCTAAGAAAACCACCTCACCGGGTCAAAAAAGACCCACTTATGCATCTAAGGGTTAACAACATGTTCTCAGTTCTTCTTCCACCTCTCTTCCAGAAATGCTTTTTATTCAGCATTCAAGGTCTTCCAAGGCTTTCTCAGGAGTATAAATGAAACATGATATCATGGTCAGCTGCCACCTCAGCACTCTGACTTTACATTCATTGTTGATTCGAGTGTATGAGCGGTTTGTTTTGAGTGCGTGTGCAACTGTTTTTCTAAAGCTGTTACCATGACCACAACATAATGCACGTCTTGTTTGACCGAGCCTCGAAGCTTGTTACACAAGAGCATGGGAATGCATCGGCCTCTCTGAAGAACAGGAAGTGCAATTTGTGAAGGAAAAATTGAATTGTGCCGGAAAATATGAGATTATAAAGAGCGTTTGTTTCTCTTCGCTCTGAGTACATTTCCACAGGATTCTTTTATTTAAAGAATGTATTTACAGCTAACGCCTCAACATATTAACCCCGCGGCAATCACACTGCAACCGTCTGGGACTTCCTGTACAAATCAAAGAAACTGCATTTTGTGAAATGTCTTAGTGTGTGTATCATGTCTTCATTGATACAAAATTAATATAATTTATTCATCCCAAATTGGGAAATAGTTTTGGCACAGCAGCAGAAAGTAAACGGGTATCACACACACGAGTTAAAAATATAATACAAATACAAATATAATCAAATAAACAAAAACAGGAAATATATAAATACACACAGTAGAGAATATATACCATATATACATTAAGCATCTGAAGAATACATATAATAAAAAATACTGAATAAATTAGAATACTGAAAAATACTAAATTAAGAATAGATAAATAAGATAATATTAATGTATTTCCACACAAAATGTAAAAATGCTAATAATAATTAATATATAAATGAATATATAAACTATAACATATACATATATATTTAATTTCCCACTCCTCTATGAGAAAGGAAAGTGTGTTTTTCTTACGTGGCACATGTTGATTCCTGCGTCTGTTGCTGAGGCACAGAACATGTCCGGAGTTACCTTCCCGCTGTGAGAGGTGGAGCGGTTACAGTTTGCAGCGTCAACAAGAGAAACCTGAGCCTCCATCAGGTGAGGCGCGGCTGTCAGAGCAAACGAGACGTTAGAGAGGACATGTTCTGCTTTCTGGGGTTTTTCACTTCCCTGTTGTGTGTTAGATAGGTTTCTGTGCATGTAAATGGTCTGCAGAGGATAAAATCCCCCCCAGATGGAGTTTCTCTCTCACACACCCTGCCTGAAACGCCTCCATTATATTCCTTTGTTTACTTCCGGAAAATACACTCACGCTTCTATTGGCTAGAGCTCCAGAACACTGCATGTGATAGGATGAGGGACATATCTAACCAATAACAACAGAGCCAGCTAACCATCTAACCCACATGTGTCAAACTCAAGGCCCGGGGGCCAAATCCGGCCCGTGGTGGATTTAATTTCGGCCCGCAGGATCATTTTGAATTACTATTAGATCTGGCCCGCCGGTATATTGCACGCACACCTTCACTCAATCCTGAGGATCTCCTCCGCTCAAAGCCTGACCCCAAACATTGATGACCTTGCACCCAAGATGAGATGCCAAGTATCTGGCTTGAACTAGCATCACAGAGCAGCAAACTGAGTTTCAATGTTTCCTTCTGCACTTTTTCTCTCACGACAACAGGGCATGTTTGGTTTTTTCTTTGAGGGAAATTGTTTTGTTGAAGCTGCTGTTGGCCTGTGGAAAAATGTAATCATAAGAAATGACTCCAGGAAAGCTGCAGTTAGAGCCATGAGAAATGAATGCAACTGATTATTTAATGTTTAATGTTGTTTTTATAGGCAATCATTTAAGCTTTGTTAGTTCCAGGTTTAATATGTGCAATAAGTTCATTTCAATACGTTTTGCAATAAACATTGAACCAGTCCGGCCCTCGACTAGTACCCATTTGATAATTGTGGCCCACTGTGTATTTGAGTTTGACACCCCTGCTCTAACCAATCAGAGCAGACTGGGAGAACAATAGTAAATACTTTTTTGAACATTAAAGCATGGAGACATGTCGAGGCAAAAAATACAAATATGAACCTGAAATAAGCTTAATATGTCCTCTTAAAAGTAAGAAATAAGTACATTTACTTACAACATTGGAACGTATTACATTTACTTGTAAGGCAAGGTACGTTTATTTATAAAGTACATTTCAACAACCAGGAAATTCAGAGTGTAACTGAGTATTTCTGTACTGCACTGTATTGCTACTATAACTTAGGAAAACAATATGTATTTAGGAACTTCTTCCATGCACATTTCCATTAAGTAAACAGGACAGCAGAATGAGGAATAGTAAAGACTTTGGCGCCATCCAGTGGTAACTCACAACAATGGAAGCAGCTAGTATAAGCAATTCTAAATTGTAAAAGTACTCTGTTAAAAGTTTCAACATTCAATGGATTCAGTGCCTGATATCTTGTTAAATCACTACACAAAACATGCAAACAAAATGTCTCACCTGTGTTTACGAAGCGACTAAATTCTGTTATCCAGCCTTTCTCAGGAGCAGAGGCGTAAACACCAACGTTTGGAAGGCACACAGCTCCGATATCACTGGAGGCTACAGGAGAAAAAAGGATATTTCTGTTGTTAAAAATCATTGTGAGGAGTCTTTTAATCCATAAATATGAAAACAGTATGCATTAACCTGAACACAGCATGCATTATCACCTGGTGTCCACAAAATAAAATGATAGACACTCAGATATAAGTTAAAGAGGCCCTGTTGTGCTGTTGGGGGTCTTCCTTACATGTAGTGTGTCATATAGGTTTTTGTGTGTGTAAATGGTCTGCAAAGGCTAACATCCCTGTGTTCTCTCAAGAGGGAGTTTCTCTCCAAGTTCATTAAAGTAAAAATGTTAATGTGATTCAATTTGCTTTCTGTAAATGATCAGCACTGCATGTACCCCCCCTGTGTGTGTTCATCTAGTGTTCGTTCCCTATAAGCACCTGTGATGTGCAGCGGTTTGGAGAGCCTCATCAGAGCGATGTCGTTGCCGCGGGTGATGCTGTTGAAGCCTTCGTGGGATATGATGCGGCTCACAGAGTAAGCCGGGTTGAACAGAGTGTCTGAAAGATGCACGACTCCAGCATACACCAACCAGTCTGCAGCACCCGAGGTCCTGCAGGGGAGGGACAGCAGAGATTCAAATCAAACTTTATCTATAAAGCACTTTTTATATACAGAAGGTAACATCAAGTGCTTCAGAATTCAAAAAACAACATCAATACTGCACTTAAGAAGACATTTAGGTCGTTTTTTTCTTGTTTACCTAATTGTATTTATGTTTGTTGTTGACATGTGACATGCTGGCCAGTTAACCAATCAGAGCAGACCTGAAAATAGGCCTATAGGGCCCCTTTAAGAATAAAAAGGCCTCACCATGTGACACAGTGTGCTGCAGTGAGGATCCAGTAGGGGGAGATGATGGCTCCTCCACAGCGGTGGGACACCCCCACCCTCAGGCTGACCTGCCAGGGAGGGGCCTGCTGCCCCCCCGAGGCCCTGCTGGAGTTTAGCCCCCTCCCACAGTCTGAGGAGGAAAGTGCTGTTAGAGAGGATACATGCACTGCTATAGGGGTCACACAGAACCAGCTCTTTATTCTATCAGTATAACAGATCAAATAATATATAATAAAACTTCAAAGGCTTTAGTTTCAGCAATGTATGTCATCCTTTACATGTATGACTTATGCACCGGTATATTAGAAACAGTAATAACATACCAGTGCAATGCAACGTCACCACGCTGTTGTTGGGACAGGTTTTGCTGCAGTTGGCAACAAAAAGAAGACATTTGATGTGTTATTAGGTCCATTTTGATTAAAAATGTACAACTTGATCTGAGTTCATCTCCACCAGTTCACTAACCTGAGCACGAGCTGATGCATTATGGGTGCTGTAGAGTTGAAGTCAGACTTTAATATCAGGAATCCATCGTCAGTGTCAGTCTGCTGTTGGCCTGATTTAAAATATGTGTCCCTGTTAAAGCACAGAACAGAAAATATTAAACACAATAGTCCTTTACATGTCAATAAAAACAGTTTAAGCTTGTATTTTAAAACTTGATCGAGCAACATATGGTATGCAAAAAGTTTGAATATGTTAAAAGTTACGGAAACTTTAAAAAACCATCATGTTACCTGCTGTAACCGACCTGCTGGCACCTGGCTCTGCCCTGCTGCTCGCTCCAACCCCGAGAACAAACGCTCCTCCAGGTTCTACCCTGAGTCCAGTACACCTGCAGCAGGAAGCTGGAGCCATGCAGCCGCACTGAACACACACACACACAAAATACACACACACACAAACACACACAAGCACAGAGGCAGAGTGAGGGACTAAACCCAGGTATGATATCTGAGTACTTCTTCCACCTCTTGTTGTAAAAGGCTGCAGGAGCTTGTTGGTACCTCATTGACCCTTCACTTGTTTCCAATAAATATCAAATTCCCTGTTCCCAGAGCTGCCTTCAAAACAAAAGCATTAACAACTACTTTAATTGATTGAGCTATTTACAGAAGTATTTTGAGTTACAGTTTGATTTAGGAAATATATTGTTTGAACTGATAAGATACTTATAATGTTTTGATATAAGGGCCTTTTCCTGTCTCTCTCCCGGTCTTATTCCCACACTCTTTCAAAATAAAAGCCCGATAAAGAAACTGTATTTCAACAGGAAGATCAGCACAATGCTTTGTTTGTTCTTTTGTTTAAAGGTTTGTTTACCACAGCTTGCTTCGTCCTGGCCTGCCGGACAGTCCTTCTCTCCGTCACACCACTGAGACTCCCACACACAGCTGCCGTCTCCACAGCGCCTCCCGTGGGCGCAGGGCGACGAGACTGAGGGCCACAGGGCGAGGTTCATTCACACAGAGGGTGTTGCAGCACATGATCTCAATCTCAATCTTTATTTATTTATATAGCACACTTAAAGGTCACCTATTATGCAAAATCCACTTTTTCATGTCTTTTCTACATCAACATGTGTCTCCCTCTGTGTAAAGAGATTCTGAAAGTTTTAGGAAAAAAGATTCTCTCACTTTTTGTCCTGATCCATTTATATAAAAACCTGTCTGAAAATGAGCTGATCAGATTTTGGCCACTTTGTGATGTCATAACGAGTTTTTGGCTTGTGTAACCATTAGCCAATCAGCAACCAAGGTAACCCCCCCCCCCCTTATCACCTGAATCTCCTCCTAGGCAAGGCAAGGCAAGGCAAGTTTATTTATATAGCACCTTTCAACACAAGGCAATTCAAAGTGCTTTACAAAAATGGAAGACATTAAGAAAATGGCATTTAAAATCAGTCATTAAAAAGAAAAGATAATAAAATAAACATTAAAAGAAAAAATACATGGATAAAAGATAAAAGTTACAGTGCAGTTTAAGATGTGAATAGTTCAATTAAAAGCAGCGGCAAAAAGAAAAGTCTTCAGCCTGGATTTAAAAGTAGTCAGAGTTGCAGCGGACCTGCAGGTTTCTGGGAGTTTGTTCCAGATATTCGGAGCATAATAACTGAACGCTGCTTCTCCATGTTTAGTTCTAACTCTGGGGACAGAAAGCTGACCACCTGACTCCTAGAGCACCATTGTGTTCTTTTTAACCAAATATCTCTCAGAGGGGCGTGGGGAGGGGCTCCTTATTTTCATCTAAAGTAACAGACAGAGAATCAGCACTTTTGAAACGGGGCTGAAAACAGAGGGGATTATGGGATGCTACAATGATCTGTTTGGTGTTAGGAGCCAAACAGAGACATGTTCTGTATATATCTGAGACCTATAATATATTGATGAAAAACAGTATAATAGGGGACCTTTAAAACAACCTCAGTTGACCAAAGTGCTGTACAGGGAACAAATACAATATATAATAACACAATAGGAGTAAAATAATAAAACAATAACTAAAAACAAGATAAAAAACACAATAACTAGAAACGTATAAAAACGTATAGAAATGTCAAAATGTCATGGTCAACTAGTAAAGTGCAAAGAGGTGAGTTTTTAGCAGAGATTTAGATAGACCGAGCAGTTCGGATTTGTACTGGGAGGCTTTACTCACAGTAATAAGCCAGGAGGATCCCAGTGATCAGTGTGAGCAGCAGCAGGCAGATCACAGCGGCCACAGTGAACCTCACACACCTCTGTTTCACACCTGACAGGAGAGAGAGAGAGAGAGCGCACACACACACACACACACACACACACACACACACACACACACACACACACACACACACACACACACACACACACACACACACACACACACACACACACACACACACACACACACACACACACACACACACACACACACACACACACACACACACACACACACACACACACACACACACACACACACACACACACACACACACACACACACACACACATTTTACATGTGTATTTTAAGCCAAGTTGATTTTACTGAATTATGTAAAAAAAACATCTGTATTTTTTTTGTGTGTCACATTTAGCAAAATATGTGTATTTTTTGATTAAATAATGTTAAGAGAATTTAATAAATGCACTTTTGTCATAACCGAGTCAATTTGTATTAACATATATAAAACATGTGTATTCTATATTAACCCATTATATGAGGGTATCTCTATGAAAGTACTGTTGTATGCCGTTGATAGTAAGTCCTTTGTAAGAAGATGGCAGTCCTCATTATCAAAATCAATAAAGGAAGTTTTGAGTGTATCACATTCAATTTTTTTTACTATTTCTTTATTTCGTTGATATTAATAAAAGTCATATGAAAACCACATTACAGAACAGGCGTCAGCCCTACCTTTGTGTTTGGGGACGGAGGAGCTGATCTCAGGCGGAGGCTTCGGGGCCAGATGATGAACGTACTGCGGCTGAACATCTGATCCATCGGCTGGAGGGAGGTTCCTCTCCACATCTTCACCAATAAAACAAGAACCAGAGTCCAGGTACTGACAGAAACACATATGTGATGAGAGGCACAGGCAGTGTGAGAAAAATAAAGAGCTTTTTGAACATTAAAGCATGTACTCATTTCACAGTAGAGACACTCATATGAACCTGAGAATGAGCAGAATAGGGCCCCTTTAAAAATGTTATCTTTAAATAGATTAATTTGAGCTAAATAAAAAGCCCTGAAGGTACAGTACATGTATCGGTATGTTTTTGCAAAATTTCGTAAACATTATACAAGTTATTATAGTATGAATAAGACTTTCTTATGTGCATTTATATTCTTGAAAAGCTCTTTAAACTGATATTAATTAAATGAAAACTTACCGGATTGGTCGTCATCTTAATTGTTTTGTAACAAAATCTTATAATGATTTATAAAAGGCAGTAAATGCCGTGCAGCAGGACAAATATGTTCCTGGGGAAATTGGATGTAGATAATCTGGGAAATGTAATCCAAGAGTAATTGAAGCTAGGAGAACGATGTATTTCAGATCTCTGGCCTCTCCTCTTGCTTTCCTCCTAATCTGCTTTGAGTTTTTAACACAAAGAGTGTGTGTGATGTTCAGAGAGGCCACTCCTCACACTTCATGGGTTTGAAGTGTCCCTCCTGAGCACACACCGGACACAATGGTGTTGTCTGATCAGTACGCAGTGGAAAGGTACTGCGCTGCAGAGAAACACATTACCAGAGAAATGCAGAGTGGTACGATCTGTGAATAAACAGTCGGTTCAATTCACTTTTCAGATCCAATTTAAACCAAGAAAATATATTTAATTCTGTTTAATCATTTATTTAATTACACAGAGATCATGTTAAAGGGTTGCAAGCTTTTTTTGCACAACATGGATGTAATAAAAAGTATAATAAAGTTGCTTTTAAACATTTGAGATTTCACTTACACATGTATATATATTTATGGATGCCCGCCTAGAGATGCTCCATACAGCATATAATAATTTCACTAAATGAATAGTAAAAAGGAGCTGAACTAAATCCCAGCTGGATAAGGCATATCATACATTCACAAGGCATTTAGTCAAAGTAAAGACATTTGTTAGGCACTGGCAAAACGTCATACTACAGTCAACAGTATGAAAACAATCACACCCCATGGGGTCAAAACTAATTCACCTTTAACATACACTTCTTAGGCCTTGGTCTTTGTAAATTCCCTCTAGATTTGGTCAGATGATCAGATTATTGCAGCATTTATGGTTTATTTTGATGATGGTAGGTCATGTGTCGAATTGACTTGATGTTCTGTTAAAGTGCAAAGGTAAGCAGAAATGTATTATTCTATAAAAATGTGTTGCTCATCTGTTGAGTCCATTTTAGTTTTTAAAACAATACAGAACTGCCTTTTGTCAAAAATGACCAAACCAAAATACAAAATGTCCGTTCCCCCATCGCTCCTCTCCGGCTACACCCAGGCCTGCCACCCGGCGAAGAGTCTGCTGAGGTTTTTGGGGTCCATGGCCTGTTGGATGAGCAGGTTGACCTGCCCCCCCACACTGAGCACCGTGCCGCCCTCCACCCCCTTTAGCTTCTCCTGCAGCCTCAGCAGCACCCGCTCCGCCACCTTGTTGTAGCTCTGACTGTCGCTGCAGGAGGGAGAGAGAGAGAGAAACCAAATCAAACATCACTGTAAGGGATCTACATTTGGAATTCAAAATCTGCTCTCATCAGATTTTTAACTCTGAAATCAGACATTTTTAAATCACAGCTAAAAACACTTTTCTTTTCCATTGGATTAGCTTTGGTCTTTTAGTATTTATTATTCGTATTCTTATTATTTCTATATTGTTCTATTCACCGGGACTTCCGGGGGTTGTCCATGTCCTCCCCCCCCATGGTGGAGCTGAGCGTGGCGTTGAGCTCCTGCTGCTCGTCGTGCTGCAGGTAGAACGCCTTCAGAGGGTTCATGGTCCAGTCGAACAGAGGGTCGTACAGCAGCACCTGAACAGCACGTCAACACAGAGGCAACGCTAAACATCAACGTGATGCAAGAGATCAGGAAGAGGGGATCCTGTCATCTTGATTGTTTGTTGAAAGGGGATTCTATGGTGAAGGGTTGATTAGGTACTCTCAAAGAAAACTGTGGTAAACAAGCTCCTGCTGCCTTTTACAACAAGAGGGGTGTGTGTGTGTGTGTGTGTGTGTGTGTGTGTGTGTGTGTGTGTGTGTGTGTGTGTGTGTGTGTGTGTGTGTGTGTGTGTGTGTGTGTGTGTGTGTGTGTGTGTGTGTGTGTGTGTGTGTGTGTTCTTACCTCTACAATAGTCACCAGAGCTTCTTGAGAGTTCCTCATCACCTCCATAGTCTTCTCACAACATCTGAGAAAAATACAAGTAATGTCAAGTGTGTACTTTGTGGCCCATTAGTCACAGAGTTAACTACAAACAAGATTACACATTTTCTACAAAGTACACACTTGACACTACTTGTATTTTGTGTAGTTAACTCTGTGACTAATGGGCCACAATGTGCAGCTCAGAAGGACGACTATAATGGAAAGACACATGTATGAAAAAGGAATGATTTCCCAGTGGTCTTGGTTTTTAAATATCTACAAACTGTCGTCCCCCTCACCTCCTGAAGACCCCCTCCACTCCGGTGATGCCCATCCCGTCCACGATGTCTCTGGACAGTCTGAAGGGGACGGTCTCGGGGGTGGGGAGGATCTTCCCCTGCTCGAAGGCCACACCTGAACACCAAACACAAAACGGAAACAGAGAGAGGGATGTGTTGAGGACATATTCTGCTCATTTTAAGGTGTATATTAGTATTTTGTGTCTCTACTGTGACGTGTCTCCATGCTTTAATGTTCAAAAAGGTATTTATTTTTCTCATACTGCCTGTGCTGCAGCACCTCTTTTCACCCTGAAACCAGAGCCCAGTCTGCTCTGATTGGTTAGCTGACCGGCTCTGTTGAGATGTGTCAACCGCTTAGAGATGTCCCGCCCCTTAGCCTATCACGTACAATGTGTTGGAGTTCTAGCCAATAGAAGCGCGGGTCTTACAAAGTAATGTCACTATGTTCAGGAAGTAAACAAAGGAGTCCAATGGAGGCCTTTCAGGCGGGGGCGGGGGGGGGGCGGAAACAACTTTTTTGTGTGTTGGAAACTACATAACAGGACCCCTTTAACACAGCCAGACCTTTGAAGTCAAGAGTAAGCTTTCTTTGTTAAAATAAACAAAACGAATCAAATGTTACCTAAATCGATGTGCACCAGTTCAGCCGTCTGCTCATCGACCAGGATGTTCTGGATGTGTCGGTCCCCCAGGCCCACGATGTAGCCGACTGAGGACAAAACATAAAGTTGGAAAAAATCCATTGTTTTACTTTACAAATAGAGTTAAAAAAAAATTCAGCTACTCAGCTTAACTTTTTTTGTATATCAAAAAAAGCGAATATTTGAAATCTACGATTTATATCCCATTATTTTTGCAATCTATTGTGATCCCTGTAATTTGTTACATTTAAATGAGAAATAGCTGCGATAATATGTAATGTTTGTGATAACGTCTACCTATGGAAGAGGTGGCCACGCTGCGAGTGTACGCCAGACGTTTCTCCGTCCACACCGCGGGGTCCAGGAATCGCTCCATGCAGAAATACCTGAAGACCGGCCTGAAGCTGCGGCACACCTCGCTGAACACCTGCAGCTTCTCGTCAAACGCCAGCTTCTGAGCCTCCTGTAGAGACAGCAGCGGCAAATATTAACATCATCATGACTGTGTCCTATCCTGTCTCAAACATCGTTATACTGAATCTTAAAAATACTCCGTTGCAAATAAAAGTCCTGCTTTTTAAATTCCACCACTGTCGAATCTCATCCCAAACTAAGATATACTAGGATTTAAAATAGTTTGGGTTTTTTTACAATAAGGCTCTAGGTTGGTAGTTACGTTCATAAGAATGTATGTGCAAATAAATTCAAATGCAAAGCCTGAAGAAGAGTGAAACCAACAAGTCCCTCAGTAATATTATGGGTTAAAGACAGGTACAAGTGAGGACAGCAAGAAGTGTATTGTAAGGTTACGACAGATATAACCAAGAATGTAGGAACTCATTGTAAGACAAGGGACAAACACAGGAACTTGTTTGAGACACTGCTTCACCCTTTGCTCACGACACTGTGTCTCACCCCCAGACATCCTTAAGGTTAGTTATATGTTGGACAGAGGACATGGATTAAAATACATCCTCATGGAACTACTACATAACATTTTACCATATTAGGTAACACATAAAGTTGGTTTGCACATCATATAAAGTTTGCACCACATATAGAGTTTGCCATTACATATAAAGTTTTAAGTATGCACTTGTATAAAGTGTTCCACTACAGACTGTGCTGAATAGACAGTATATGCTGCAGCAGTACATTCATCTTCCGGCGGCAGGCCAGGTTGGTGGCGTCCTGCGGTCTGAAGCGCTTGTGGGCTCCTTTACTGGCATCGATCAGAAACTGCCCGATCGGCACGGTGCCAGAACACCACTCCAAAACCCCGCTGCGCTGCGAGAACGGCACCACCTGGGAGAAAGGAGACAATATAAGTTGATGCAGATGAACGCAGACAAGAAAACGAAGGAATCGGCACAAGAGACACTTGACTGGAGACCATCAGTAAGAACCATCACTACCTCCACTGTGGGGGAAACTTCTGTGTAGCAATGCAGTGGGAGTCACCGACTCAGGAAGGAGACACGGTGAGAGTTGGAGATTTTGATGTCAAACACTGATGGGTTTATTCAGAGTATTCGGCCGGAGGATTCACATCACAAGTCAAAGAGTCAGAGGTTCTGACTTCACGGGAGAGTTGCCACGTCAATTCTGAAGAGCCTCTCTCTATGCTAGACCTTTTAACTGGTTCACAGAGAGTAATCAACATCTCTGAAGGAGTAGACTAAACAGCTGGGAACACTGAACCACCTGCGTCCGACACTCATGGCCTCAAAGATTTCACACCTTAGAGTCCACAAACACCGATAAAGAAGTGCCTCAGCGTTCTCACAACAAGTACCATTCGTGCCAGACAAGTTGACCGGTCACAAACTGGTGACAACAACACATATGGCACCAATGCCTTTCCTTAAAGGAGATAACAGACGTCAGAGTAGATCATAAAACGTCACAGAGCAAAAGGTTAGATATCTAGAAGAGTTATTCCTTAACATCCACCATAACTCCCAGCATGCACTGGTTCTTTAGGTGAAAAATGAGGAAAGACATTCAGCTGAGTCATGCTCCAGTTTGTTGAAGTGTCACAGGAGTGAGATAGTGGACAGGGGGTGTTTCTCAATCGCGAGTACGCTTGCTTGGTAGCACATGTCTGCCGAGCATCTTGCTTCAGAAGCGAGTCAAGAACACTTCCTGGCATTCGGAAAACGAAGTGTGGAACACGCTAGCAAGTGTGCAGGTGTGCGTCATATGAGAGGCCCCGCCTTACATCTTCCGCCACAGATTTGGGGAAATTGGTCCGTGCGCAAAGCATTGTGGGGATTTTAAGACCGCGGAGTCTACTCATGTGCAGACTCGATATTTCTCCAAGCGGAGTACGCCGGGCTCGGTAGATTTCCAAGTATACTGGAGATTGGAACAGTACTTCGGCGGCACTCGATGACGTAGTATGCTTGAAATAGTGGTTCTGGAGCAGCTTTACTCGCGATTGAGAAACACCCAGGGTCTCCACTGTAGGAACAGATAGTGCTGCAGTATGATAGCAGCAGTGCAGGAAGACTGTTGGACTTCATGATAATAATTCTGAAATCCGGTAATAATAATAACGTAAAAAACCCTCAGATTCCTCACACCAGTTTGCCATGCATTTCTTTATCCCCACACGTGTTTTTGTTTTATCTCCCCCAGAGAAACGGTTAAATGATGTGTGACCTTGTATCGTCGGATGTTGAGCTTCCTCTTGCGAGTGTCCGTGTTTCGCTGCAGCAGCATGGAGCACATGCTGAACACCTGCTGCATCACGGCGTCCTGCCGCAGGTCGTCCTGGCCCTGCACCAGAGGGCAAAGGTCAGCCGAGAAAAGCACATTTACTGTCGAGCCTTCATTTTATCCAGTGTTCTACAAATATATAAACAGGTTTGTATAAGCATTTTCATTTTTATAGAAACATGTTCCTTTTCTGTCAAATAAACCTAAAAAACATTCATTCAAATACAAAACATTGTCTTTTTCCATATGTTGTTTATAATCTTTCCTCATAGTGAATACAAAAATAGTCTTCTCCCGTCAAATAGTTTCTATTTTATTTTTCATTTAAGCACAACAAAAATGTCTTATTCTTTCATTTTCTGTCCATTTTTTTACATTATAACTCATTATCCATGTAAATATTGATAGATTATTGGCCTAAAAGTTAAACACCAGAAAACTGCTATTTCATCATGACCCTCCAAAGTGTCTTTAATGATTAGCCTTTAAGTAGCTGAGAAGTGTTTCCGCAAACATTCACTCAAACACACATTTGTACACACACACACACACACACACACACGATGTGTCCTGAAGAATGTCCTCATTACAAAAGGTGTCAAAGTAATCTAGCAAACCTTGTCCTGGCACAAAAACAAGTTTAATCATTGCTGAAGTGAAATGGAAATAGTTAAAAGAGAGCAGGTCTGTTATCAGGACTTTAATCGCACACAAAAGCAGCTTTAGTTTCAAAGAGAGGGGATTAGTTTAGCTGCACACATCCACCCACCCACACACACACACACACCCACACACACACACACACACACACCCACACCCACACATCAAAGAGAACGTGTGTGTGTGTGTTACATAAAGTCACCTTTAACAGAAAGGCAAACTTGTGACACTCAGAGTCTCTCTCACCTTCACCAGCTGTCTCCGGCTCGTCCCGTCCGAGCCGACACAGTCGATGATCTTCGGCAGGTTGACTCCTCCGACGAGGCGATACTGAGGCAGGAAGGACCGGACCGTCACCAGGTTGTCATAGCAACCGGACGGATCCACCTGTTTGAGAACAGACATGTTTTTTTTTATCTCGAAACACACTTGTTCTAAGATATTACAGGGCTAATTCAATTCTGGTCAATTCCAAACTTGTGCATGCTGTTATTTATGTACGTATAGGGAATGTGACGTAATATAGTATAAGACGGCCATCTTTGGAGGGTACAAGCGACCGAAACCCACTGACTGATCATGTAAGGTTAGTGAGGTAGCGTAACTTTTTCACTTTAAACTTTTTAAACATGGACTGAATAGGGCCTCTTTATTAGAAATCCCTAGCATCCATAAAAAATGTAAGTAAGCGTTTTTTGAAAATTACATTTAAAAAAGTTAGGGATTATGAAAGTCTTACCTTGATCTCCATGGTGGGAATTGCAACCTCCTCCAGGTCTTTGATTTGCATGATGGGCTGATCAGCAGGGATGGGAATAGCCTCTTAAATAACACAAGGACACAAAGCAGAATTCACATTTAAGGGTAAGAAACAAGATGCGTCTTTCCCCCCCCCCCCATCTCACAATCATCAAAGAGAAATGGAATAAAATAAAATGAAATCACAGAGTACTCACTTGTCTCAGTCTTGTGCCTGCTGACGTCCATATATGCCAGAGTGATGTAGGCGTCACACAGACGCTCTATGCCCCGGATCATCGCTCCTTTCTTTTTCTTTATCGTACTGATGATCTTCCGGGCCACATCTGAACGCTCCTGCACCAGAAAAACATCGCTTGTAAAAACCGAATGTTTAGCGGGCCCTGTTTTGCTTTTTGTTGTTGTCCCTTTCCTGAAGTGTGTTCTATAGGTTTTAGTGCATGTAAATGGGCTGTAAATTCTAAAATCCCTGTGTTCCCTCCAGAGGGAGTTTCTCTCCCACACACCCCCCCCCCCCTGCCTGAAAAAGCCTCCATTGGAGTCCTTTGTTTACTTCCAGAACATAGTGACATCACTATGTAACACTTGCTCTTATATGGGCTAGCGTTCAAACCATAGACTGTATATAGGTTCAAACACATTGTACGTGAAAGTCTAAGGGGCGGGACCTCGCTAAGCGGTTGATCAATCACAACAGAGCCGGCCAGCTAACCAATCAGAGCAGATTGGGCTCTGGTTTCAGACAGAGGGTGAAAAGAGGTGCTGCAGCACATTATTAATATCATGATTATATCCAGGTGAGAACTTTAAATTGTGACTTTAATGACCTGACTCACGTATTTTCCTTTGTTTTACCACATCATGAATATGCGTCAGTTTTAAGTCACACACAAAAGGAGAACTATCTAATGAAAGTCTCACCAGGTCAAACTGTGAGGGCTGCTGTGGACGCGACTTGCAGAAGTTCTCGTCTTTGTTGGCGTTCACCAGGGCGAGGATGATGAAGAGCGTGTGGTGAGGATGCTCCTGAGACGCTCTGCAGATCAGCTGTGAGGAGAAAACATGTGAAGCAGCATTTTCTTTAATTATCCAGTATCTGCATCAAGTTAAAAAGTCTTGTGTTTTCACTGGTCAAAGAAAATATATTTGTCGATGGATGGCTCTAGCTAGAATGCAATGATTTAATTGTGTTTTAAGTAAGTGTTGCATTACTTCGCTGAGGACATCGTGGAAGCCCGTGTCCTCACTGGAGCCGGGGGCCATCTTGGTTCCCATGCGAGCAGCCAGCTGGTACATGAGAGGCAGGAACTTGTAGGAAGGGATCTGCTTCACCCCTTTCTGAAATGCAAAATAAGTGAAAGCCAGTTGAGCCAGTCTAAAGACTTTCATCTTTAAAGTGCACCTATCATGCTATTTTTAGGCGATAGCATAGGTCTCAGATATATAAAAATATATAAAAAACATGTCTATGAAGTGTTTTGCTCAAAATACCAAACAGATCACCCATTCTAGCCATGCCTCATATCCCTCTGTTTCACTTCCTGTTAAAAAAGGAGGGGGCTGAGCTCACGCGGGACCCGGCAGCTACTGTCTAAACTAAATACTGCCGTGATGAAACGCCATATCATGGATTATCAAGCATTATTTCTGAAACAGTATGGAGCTCAAAGGCTTTCTCTCTTGCCGGTTATACCACAAGGTGAGTTCCTTTTTATTTCCTGCTTCTTCACACATGCTCTCTCCAGTACAGGTTAGCTCTGAGTGTTAGCGATGCTAATGTAAACAACGACCATATTACGTCCAAAACAGTCGGGCATTGTTTCTGATAGCAACGTTTCTGATAGGGCCGTGGGTGTAAAGCCAGCCTACATTTCCGATATTACGTCATATCGGACGCAAATCTGGATCAGCTCCGTTGTAGCCCCGTTTTTAGAGATTTGGGTACGGAGGAAAAGAGAGAGGGTTTTATTTTCTGACGCTGCGTGAGTTCCCCGACACACCGGGGACACATATTTATGTATAAAAGACATAAAAAAGTGCATTTTGCATGATAGGTCCCCTTTAAATAAAATACACTGTAAACTTTTATTCATATATTTTTTCTTTTAATGTTTATTTTATTATCTTTGCTTTTTGACTGTTTTTAAATGCCATTTTCTTAATGTCTTTTATTTTTGTAAAGCACTTTGAATTAACCTGTGTTGAAAGGTGCTATATAAATAAACTTGCCTTGCCTGAAATGCAATGCAATAATATGTAATTGTCAAATAAAGCAGCTCCTCTGTCTTTTCCTAACCATTTATCCTTAACCTCAGTGAGAAACATCAGGGGGTTAACTACAATCTGCGTTTCTAACGATTGTTTTTTTCCGTGAACGGCCATTTTAAATGTAGCGGCTGCAAGGTATTCTGGAACAGCATAATCTCCTTTCCTTTTATCTTAATGATGGTTCAGTGTATCCTAAACTAAAGGAGATAATAAAGGAAGTACCTTCAATTCCAACAGCTTATCGTGGCTGACACTTGTGGCGCATTTCCACTGCGGTGCGCGGATTAAGCGTGCCGTGCCCGTTTTGGTTGCGTTTCCACTAGGCGTAGTTCCGGCTAGCGGGTACTTTTTCACAGTTTTTCTGGCTCTCCAAAATCGAGGTTCTTTCCGGGCCAACAACCGGGCTGAGTATGCTAAACTAGTGAGAGAATCGCTGGCTAGGGGGCTACAACTACAACAAAATGAACATATTTGACCGTGATTTAATTGTAATACACGTTTCAAAATGATGCCGAAGTAACAACATACTGATACCGGTTAGTAAAAACCATGAATTAATGCTTTGACAAGTCTGCAGACAGACGGCAGGCGAAAAACCTTTTAAAATGCGTGTTTTCTGAATGGAGATTGGCTAAGCTAACGCAGTATATGCCCCGACCGTCCACACTCACAACAACGGCCTATACAGACATAAATAAACCAGCGACTGTATTCGCCATGACACAGGGAGTCTGTGGTTTGTACTTGTTTAACTTTTGTCTAGTTTCTGAACAGATATGAGGAGCTGTGAGCTCTGAGTGCTAACAGCTAACGGCTGATGTTGGTTTTGTGTTTCTCATTGAAGATGACGTCACGGCTCCGCCTACACTGCGTTACTATAGTTACTGCCCCAGTTCCTAAACTGTAATGGAAACGCAGCATAAAGTGAGCCTGGCCTAACAAGGCCTAACGAGGCCTAGCCATACCGTACTAAGCCGAGCGAGGCCCTGCATTGGAAAAGCGCCATTAGACTCTCTGGGTCATTTCCCTCTCCTTCCTGAGAGAAATTGATGATTCACCCTCAGCCCCAGCCTCTCACTAACCTTCATCATGTTGTTTACGGCCTTAACGTCGGCGTTCTCCAGCCACAGAGAAGCCAGGCGAAACACCCAGGTGTCGTGCTCCTGCCCCTGCTCCAGACACTGGATGTAGTTTTCCACCGCCTTACACAGGAAGCGCTGTTTGTCGGCCTGAAGGTTGGACAGAGCCTTCTGATCCAGCTCCATCTCCCTCTCCACCTTTATCGTGTACCTGGGAAGTCAGATCAAGCAACATATGGAAGCAAAACCATCTATTAGGGCCATATAAAGTTCCTTTTTGGTGTTGTTAGAGCCACTATTTTGATTTTATAAGAAAGGCCACCTAATTGTGACGTCTGTAGTCAACAGACTATAAAAGACTACAATTCCCACGGCACCTCCTCTAAAGTGACAGTGATGGGCAACCTGCTGGAAAGACGCTGTCGAGGAACAGTTTTTAGCCGTTAAACTACCCTTTAAGTTATTAAGTTATATAAGCCTTATCAAGAAGAAAGAATACCTACGTTGTTTGTTATTTTATTTGAGTTTTGCTTATTTGTTTTGAATATTGTAAAGGCCTCTTTTCTTTGTTGCACATGTAAAAGTTTGTTATTTTATTTTTGAGCAAACACATCGAACTCCACTCTGAGTTTTCCCTTTCAATAACCCTATTTAGAAAAAAGCACAGACCTGTTGGACATCATTTTCTTCTCCTTGATCAGGTCCACTTCCTCCTTGGCCTTCTCCAGCAGCGCCTGCTTGTTCTCGAACTCAGACGAGGTCATGTATTTGTCGATGCTCTGGTACTGAGCGTCGGAGAAGCGAGCCAGAGACAGGAAGGCCTCGGTGCGCTGACTCAGCAGCCGCGAGTCCTGAACGCCGGACTGCTCTTCGATCACCTCCACCGCCTGGCACAGGAGAGACAACAAGACGTCCCATTAACACTTTCATTTCTCTGACACTGCCTTTCTGTGGGAGGTATGTGTGTATGAATGTGTGTTCTTCAGCAAGACTATTCAACCTACACATATTACATATTTTGAGACCCGTTTTTTATTTGCATTGATTGACAAAACATTTTTAATCTCTACAACCCCTTTTACGAGTTCTTCAGGAACTATAGACCCCACTATTGTATGAAAACAGTTAGCTGTACAATACGTCTTGTCTCTTCTCTTCCTCTTACCCTCTCCAGGTATTTCTCCAGGATAACTCCAGGGTTTTCCAGGCAGGTCTCAGCCAGCCAGTTCCCACAGAGCCGGAGACTCTCGGTGTAGACCGGGGCAACTGCAGGGTTCAAGTCCACCTGAACAACAAAAACCAAAACATACAGACTTTCTATTCGTTTTTAGTTATTTCAAATAATGTAATGCATTACGTTTAAGACGGCCCTGTTTAGAAATTGCTCAAAGTGGGTTACATTTTGTTGTTAGAGTACTGACATTTTTTACTTTAATACTTAAAAAATATTGATATTGTATACCAATTACAGGGAAAGATTTAGATTGAATTAAAAGACACATATAGCAATACTTTAAGAACAGTGAAAGTAACATAACCTTTTTATTTTATTAAAATTAATAATATTAGTAGTGCACATGTTCAAAAGCGATTGATTAAGATGATTTGAAGAAGAAAGTACTTTCTTTGAATTAGGTTGTAAAATGTTGTTCTGTTATTGTTATTTCATTAATAACTTACTTGATTGTATTTTAGTCTTACAGATTTATATTCTTATTGTTATATTACACGTTCAAAGCCTCTGAGATTGTCACACATTCTGAAAGTGCAATTATGTCAGTGAGTTAGCAAGAGTGGAATGTGCAAGATTACTGGTGTCTAAAACTGTTTCAAATATATTAAGAATTTGTATATATTGTAAAATAAAAAACTGTATTTTAGACAACAATATTACAAAGTGAAAAATAGTGGATTACATTATAACTTTAGAAACCAAAGAGGCTATATTTCCATCTCCTCTGACCTTCTCCTCCAGGTTGTGGATCATCTTTCTCAGCAGCCCGAGGGCGAGGCCCTGCTCTCCCTTCGCCCAGAACACCTGGGCTTCCTCCAGTCGCCATGACAACACAGGTAACGACTCCCAGGAACCCCCCCCACCACCGAGCTGCTTCATCTGCAGGACCGCCCGCTCTGCCAGCTGTACAGCAATCACAACACTGTTACTATTTTGTAGTCAGATTCAATATTTTTTACATTAACTATACTGGAAAATAAAGGCACACACACACACACACACACACACACACACACACTCTCTCTCTCTCTCTCTCTCTCTCTACCTGTGTGTTCCCGGCCGTGCGGGCCAGCCTGCAGAGCTCCATCAGGTGTTCAGTGAGCACAGAGCTGAGGTACTGGGAGCTGTCGGGGTCTCCCACCCTGCCTATCAGGGTCTGCTGGGCCACAGAGCGCACGGCCAGGATGGGCTCCACCAGAGAGAAGTCGCTGTCAGCGAGCAGCAGGGAGCTCTGCCGCCAGCGGCTGCACACCGCCCGCAGGGACACGTCTGAGAAGGGCCTGATGGGAAGAGGACAAAGCAAACAAACAAACATATTAACTAGAAGTCGGTCTAGTTTGATATACTCCATATCTCCCAGACCTGATGATAGCATTTGAACAATTTCAAATGTTGTAAATACAATACTTATTTTATTATAGTTATAGTTATTGTGGGCCATGATAATGGTAAGATCAGAAATTGTGAGACCCATTGACTGCTAAAATACCTGCTGAAGAGCTGCTTCACACTCTCCAGCTCCCTGATGCTCTGCAGGTTCCTGAGGGCCGGGTACAGAGAGGACACCGCCTCCAGACTGCCTCTGCACAGCTCCTCCACCTCCGCACCCCTGTGGAATTAAAGCATGGAAACACGTCACAGGAGAGGCACAAAATAATAATATGAACCTGAAAATTGCACAATACGTCCTCTTTTATAAGGATTGAAATGTCACAGTAGCTACCCTACCTAGCCTGTTCCATAGTTTCATCAAAAATGGAGAACTCTTTGTCCCTCAGTGCTTGCAGGGAACAGAACACAGATTCATGGAAGCCCAGTTTTGATTTCTCGCTCCTGAAATTAGATTTTAAAAAAGGAGAAAAAAAGGTGAGTATTAGGTGCCTCTGATTCTCTGAGTTGAGTTGATGTGTTCCTCCTCCTCCTCACCTCTCCGTCAGCTCACAGTCCCACTGAGTGTTCCTCCAGGCGGCCTGGAAGCGGAGCTCTCGCAGCTCGGCGCCCCACTCCACCCCCTCGCTCTCCAGCCCCCTCATGTAGGTGGCGAGGATGCTGCTCAGACCAAAGTGCTGCAGGCCCTGTGGGTGCAGACATCACAACAGAAGACGCTGCATCACCCTGCATCAACATCGGACCTAATGTCATTTGTTCTTCATCATTTTACCTCCACAATTCCCACTTGCCGAGTGACCTCTGGCAGGGTGGTGTGAAGGTCGTATGAATTCAGGGCCTTCCCCCACATCGCCTCGTGCTCATAGGTTCGAATCCTAAACATTAAGCAATCACACCTTAGTTGTAAAGCACCTTTCACACATTTTAAGATATTAGTGAAGTTTAAGTTGCTTCACAGATACTGATAAGAAAATAAGAAATAATAATATGGACCCTGAACAAATAAATAAATACAAATATTGGAAGAAAACATAAATAGAAACGAAACAGCATGAAATTAGAACTAGTGATAGAAGCTAAGATACAATTATAGTTACAATAACATCATTGGTTGATAAAATAACAATAATATTCAACAACTTAAATTCAATAAAATAGGTGATAAATAAAAAAACTATAAAATAGAAAAAATAATTACAACTTAAATACAGAGATATTATATTAATGTGTTTGTTATGTATAGTTGGTTATTACTGATCACCTGGTATAGCACCTTTTACACATTTTAATATATTAGTGCATTTTAAGTTGCTTCACAGATACTGATAATATGGACTTTGAATAAATAGATAAATAAAAATATGTTTAAAATTAAATAGCAGGGGAACAGCATGAAATAAAAACAAGTGATAGGATATAAGAAAGAATTATAGTTAAAAACTAAATTATAATAAATAATTGGTTTAATGAAAAACGTAAAGAGTAAAAAATATGATTTAGTAAATGAACAGTTGGTTATTACTGATCACCTGGTCAGGGGACTGGTCAGCGTCTCCCCCCCGCAGCCGTACAGACTGTCAGGCTCCCCGATGCTGCGATACACCTCGATCAGCAGCTCCTGCAGAAACAGACGAGAACTACCAAATTAAATATGTTACTGCCATTCGTATGTGGTTCCTGAATTAAAAACATGGTTACAAGTGTCCAACGATAAATCTTTGTACACAAGAATATTGCGTGTTTAGCTAACAAGTTGTGAACTCGGTGGTCATTACACTGGACTTACATAAGGAAATTAACCTTTTTAACTTTAGCATTTCTTCACAAATACATCAATCAAACATTTGAATTAGCAACGGCTTTGATTTGTGACCTGCAGGCTGATGTTCGTGTCCTCCATGCTCTTCTCCGTCAGGCTGGAGATGGTGAAGCTCTGGCTGTTCTCCTCGAAATTTATCCTACGAGAAGCTCTGGCCTTGGTTCTGCAGAATTATGGATGAAAAGTACAATGCATATTTAAACATTTAATGTGTATGGAAAAATATTAAATGTCAATCTTGTGAATTAACCAGTTAAAAAAAAATTAAACTGCATATTGTTCATGAAAAGTTTAATGCATTTTTAAAGAGACAAGACATTTACCCATTTTAATTATCACAATTAACTAGATAAATAATTGAAAAATAATTTTTTTTAAATGTGCAAAGTCTTAATGGCACACATAATAAGATATGCTTTAAAAACCCACGTTAATAAATGATCCCTTCTTGCATACCTCCGACCCTCCTCCATGTTAGCTTTGATCTTGTCCACGTAGATCTCGGAGTACAGCAGAGCGGTGAAGTGAGCCGAGCAGGACTGAGCCGCTTTGGCCACCTCCAGGTAGTTCAGCTCCAGCCAGAAGTTGGAGTCACACACCGTGCCGCAGGACTTACTGGAAGAGGGCAACAGCCTTTAATACACACACACTCCACACACAGCATGAGCTAATAGGATAAAGAGCAGTCAGTAAACATTTATTAATAATGAAACAAAAATGTGCAAACCTGGCCGCCTCCAGTGATCTCTGTTGGTGTCTCAGATAGTCGATGACAGCCAGCATGGTACGCAGAGAGGTCTTATCGTACAAGCCCTGACTGGCAGCGTCGGACTCTGAAAATAATAATAAAATGTGAGAATGTGAGTAAATAAAGAGACAGAAATTATTATTATTATTATTATTATTCTTCAGGGCCCGAGTCCACATAGCGTCTTTTTCTGGCAAAAAGGCGCTGGGAAGAGTCTCCTCCCATCTTTCATCAAAGAAAACGGCCAAAAAAAACTAAGCTGGATTGCTGCATGTTACGGCCGCCGCCTCCCCGGTCCTAGTTAACTCTGCTTTGACTGTGTTCTATGTAAATGGGCTGTGCGGTTGCCCTGATGCCCTTGGCTACTCATCTCCTGGCCCGCCCCGAAGATTGCGATTGGAGCATGCCGGGCCCGACACGCTCCAATCCCAGCGCACATCCAGCGCACACCTTCCGGAGACGACTGCAAAGCCTGTGGACAACTATCAGTCGGGAGGCTCTGGATGTGTGACCAGACGCCTCTCGCTACTTACTCTTCGCTTGTAGACAAATCTGTTAACAGTGCTTACCTCGTGTGGTCCTTATTAGTGTGGTTGTTATTATTGGTGTCTAGATTGGCTTCAACCCGTGTATTACGCTGACTGTTGGCCTCTAGTCCTCCCCCCCATAGCTGTGTTTTCCTACAGCCTCCTTTTTGTTAGTTTGTGCCACTTTGATAGTGAGGGGTTGTTTTGTTGCTATTTATTTGCTAGTATCTATTTCTTTGTACTTAATGAGGCTCCTTTTTTAGAGTCCTCCCTTTGTTGGTTGCTTAGTTAAACCTGCGCCCTTTTGGGCCCCTTTGTTTACTCCAGGCTGCGTGCCTTCCATTTTTGTAATATTGTTATTCAATAATATTCTTGTAATAATTACCAATTCCAACTGGTGTGTGTTGCTTTCCCTTTTCCCCTAGTTGGGACATAACACTGCATGTGACAGCTTACGCTCTGTTCTCATTGGAATCAATTAAAAAAAGATGGCTAAAAGGGGCTGTGTGGATATGTGGTCCCCTATACTCTCAGTCTTACCAGAGTCAGAGTTGAGAGGTGTTGCGGTGCGGCTGGAGGCCTGAGCGCTTCTGGAACAAAAGCTGAAGAAGTCCTGAATGTGGGAGGAGAGCAGCTGCCTCCAGGATCCGTTCACATCGTCCATCAGGACGGAGTGGATGATGAGCGGCAGCAGCCTCTGACAGCAGTCCACCCTCACCTGGAGACACAGGCAGGAAGTAAACACAGGGATTTTAGACGTTGCAGACCTTTTTTCACGCACACAAATCTATAGAACACAATACAGGAAATGGAAAGCCCCCAAAAAGCAGAATAAGGCCTCTTTAAACGTCTGTGTGCTCACCAGACACAGCGGTCGGGACAGCAGCAGAGCTTCACTCTTGACCCCCCCCGCTGTCCAGCAGGGCGGTGCACAGAGCCTTCAGCCAGGCCTTGTGTCCGCCCGCCCGGGGGATCCAGAAGTCCTGACTCTCCAGCTTCTGCCTCGCCCCCAAACTCTCCTCCTCACTCACAGCTGCACCCTGAGGAGGGACCACAGACACACAGATGTTACACGGGCATACAGAAAAACACACTAATACATATTTGTATTTCAATGCTTTGTGTTTGTAAAACAGTTTTTTATTTAGAAAATGGGTCTAAAACATGTAAGGTTTGATTTTTACATATTTGTTATTGGTATACATATGATAGATATGACACAAAAACCTGGTAAACCCACCGTCTTCTTGGCCTTTCTGAAGGGGTTGAGGTAGGTAAGCATGGGGTCTCTGTTGTCTTTGTGTTGCGCCCAGAAGTCGACTCCGGACTGAGTTGCGAGGATGTTCTTCAAACACTGACCAGCTGCTTTCCTCACCTCAATACTGGCACACACACAACACAGGAAAGTGTTATAAATCTCCTAAAGTAAAAATAAACCAATACGTAGTCAGATTTTGGATTTCTGAGATCTAGAAATTGGCATACCGCTGTTGTGTGAGTGCATCGTTCATGCAGTTGAGGATGATGTAAAGACACTGGGACTCAGTGGAGGTGAAGAGAGAAACAGCTTTCTCATAGAGGGGGTCTCTGCCGTGCAGCAGGGCGATGGTGGAGAAATCTATCGGACCCAGCTCTCCCAGACAGCTGCCCGCCGCCTCTGCAGAGACAAGGTTAACGCAGATTAATCACGTTTGACGAGCGCAGATGTTGACCATGAATACCAGTGAAAGGCAAAGAAAGCGAGAGACATGTGTTACACTGACTGGAGACCACCGGACATCAGTAAAAACCAAGAACCAACCAACCTGATTTCTCTTAGCAGTTTGTCATGCATTTCTTTATTACAACACTCCCCAAAAAACAAGTAAATACTACTGGACTGTATACTGGAAAAGTCAACACCATATATCTGTAGACCCTCCCAAAGCAGAAGGGAAAACCCGAGAGAAACCCCACGATTAATGGTAAAGAATGGGATAAACTGATATTTATTTCATACCCAGAATGTCAGCTCCTCCGGGGTGGTTGGCAGCGAGCTTACAGAGCTGCAGCAGACTGAGGACCAGCTTCACCAGCATACTGTCAGAGGGCTCGGCTACAGGGGAGATGAGAGACATTTAGAACAAGCTCGCAGGACACCTAACATGCCACAACTATTTATGCATTTTCCTTCATCTGGCTTGGTACCGAGGCACTCTTTGAGCAGCTCTCTGATCTGGTCCTTGTTGTCGTGCAGCTGCCGGGTCAGCTCCTTCAGACCCTCCAGTCGGGTCAGAGGTAAGGAGTCACATGACGTCACAGAGAGGAAGTGGGCTATCTCCTGTTAAAGGGAGAACACAGAGGATATAGGTCAGCAATGAGATTTATTTTGCTTTATCATTGACAACTCATTGACATTTCTACCAGTGACGTGCGGTCAAGGGAGGCAGAGTGTCACCTAAATATAGCTGTTACAAAAAGTAGAAAAAGAAAACAATGGAATAAATACTATATGTACATGTTTTTCCACTGATTTGTGTTATAAATGTTATTTTTGTTCGATTCCAAGACGTTTTGATGGTCAAAATCGCCAAAATGCGAAGCTCCACTGCAAACACAGAGAGAAGTCAAAGTTGTAAAATGCACTAAAAGCCAAATCCAGAGTTATTTTCTCTCTCCATTCATCTGACTGAGCCTAGAGCGTGAGATCGGAGGCGGGGCTTAGGCAAAACTCAAGTGTGCATCGAATCCATACAGGCACTTTTGTCATTTTTAGGGCATTACCTCTCTGAGTGTGAAGGTCCCAGTGTTGTATTTGAGCTTGTGCTGCACAGACCGCAGCTCTCTGAACTCAGGGAGGTCCGGGAAAGGCTCCAACCGGCTGATGGCTCCTTTTAACTTCTGCTGATTCTCTATCACCAGGAACTGCAACAGGCTGAGCACCTGGAGGAGAGACGAGCGACAGTGAGTGGCACGTAAATGCTGAGAGATTGTTTTTCACTCTTAAGCAGGGGTAAATGCAAAACAATAATACATGTCTACCAGATTCTATAGGTCCTGGAAACCTCTATCAAATAATCCAACCTTCTGTCTGGATGCAAAAGTCAAAACATTCTCGTTTTCTTGTGGTTTCAAAAGGAATATTTTTGAGCTTCTCATTTGGTTGGGCGATTAATGGTTGTTTTGTCAACTGCATAACACACCAGCAAGTGGCATTTTAAGGTAATGCAAGCCTTCTTACGCATAGCGATGTTTCAGTCGTCTGCACGTATACTTGCAATTCATTCATTTCAAAGTGATAATTCCGTATAATATCTTGGATAATATCGCCATATTGCCATATCAATCAAGTCAAAATATTCACAATGAGTTATTTTTCCATCAGGTTCATATGTTAGCAGAATCTTTTGAGTAGACTTCGCTGTATCTTACCTGCTGCGTGACGGCGGGCCGGCTGGTCACCTGAGCGGTGAGCGTCCCGACGATGACCTGCAGGTGGCAGTCCAGAGCGTCGTCACAGAACTGCAGCGCGGCGCGACACACAGAGGTCAAGAGGTCGCAGCACAGAGAGAGGCTGCGGGTAGAGACCTCGTCACACTGAAGCGCTCTGAGGAGGAGAGGAACATCACAGTGAGCAGTGTGGGTGTAAACAGCAACACAACAGTAAACACTATAAACTAACTGATAACAGAAATACTTAAATACAGGAAATTGGGTTTTCTTGAAAGTTGCGCCATTTTAGAATTAAATAAATAATATAATAACTAAATCAAATATTAAATAAATGATTACAAGAAAGAATGTGCAATAAAAAAGATAAAATAAGATATAATCATACATTTTTTTATTAAAACATAACAAATTAAAGTAAATTGTCCATTAAAAGATACAATAAAAAAAGCATAGGGCTTTACCTACGCTGACCCCATTTTGCTGCCCCCCTCTGTGGGATGATGAAAGGATTTCTGATGCCTATTCTCACGTCCTGCGTCTGTTACCTGTGAGTGTGTGTGTGTGTGTGCGCACCTGCTGTTGATGTAGTGGATGAGTGTGTAGATGATGTCTCTGAGGACGAAGGCCCAGGCTCCTCCGAGGCCGTCCTTCACCTCTCGGAGCAGCAGGCTGACGAACAGGTGATACATGAGGAGGATGCGGTGGCGCTCGTAGCTGTTGGTCGTCTCCGCTGCTCGCTCACACACCGCCAGCAGAATCCTCTGGATGGAGATCTGCAGCACAGAGAGGGGACGGCAATTACAACAATATTATATACAGCAGAGAGAAAATACAGTTCAAGGTTCAAGGTTCTTTATTGTCAAACTGACATAGCTACAGAGTAATTATGTTGTTGAAAATCTTATGTCACAGGCTTCTCCAACAATGCAACATAATAATAATACAGATAGTAAGAGTAATACAAAAAGAAAAATAGTTATAAAATAAAGTGAGTATGTGGAATAGTGCAGTACGAGTCTATATACAAGTTATTGGAATGATATATATTAGATATTAGATATATATTACTGAGTAGGAGATGAATGTTTTGAAATTATTCCAGCAGTTCAATTGTTTAACAGTCTCACTGCCCGCGGGAAGTTGTTGGGTCAATGTAAGCCCTGTGTCAACATAGTGCCTTTTTCTGGGTGCTAGCGTCTGTGTTTTGGAGCTTTTACTTGTATTATTTCAGCGGGGAATCGGATTTTCATTTAATTTTAGAATAAAATAAAATAGAAGTTAAATAAAATAGAATATTATATAAACATAAGGAGGAATGTGCAATAAAATATTGAATAAAATCAAAAGAATAACATTAAAAAATAATATATAAACGTAAGAAATGTAGGTAAAATGTCTTATAAAAGATATTATAAAATAAATAAATTAAAAGAAAGGAGGTGAAGTGTATTTTGCGATGAAACGCTTGGAGCAGGGTCTTTCCGCCACTGACAGAAAGAGACACCTGCTGGACACAGGTCCTAAAAGACGTGTAGTTACACATTTTGAAAAGTCTTACCGGTGTTTTTGACAGGATGGCGACCAAAGACTTGTGGTTTGCGCTGTGACACTTGCTGAGGTAGTCCAGTGTCGCTTTAATCACATAAGAGCTGAAGTACGGTGGGTTTGGTACGGGGTCCAGTTCACTGAGAGGCATTAAACAGATGTTAATTTAACAATTACGATTTATAGAAAGACACACTTATTAACTTTAATAAATAACCCTCATAAACACTGGGGTAAATGAGGAATAAACGAATGAAGAAATACATTAAATATTTGAACTTCCATTACCCTATGAAGCACTTCAGGTCTCCTTTCTCCTCTTCACTTCCTTCATACAGAGTCATCAGCAGCTCCACCACTATGTCCGCCAGGTTACTATGGATCAGACTGTCTATTTGCTGCAGACACAGGAACAAACATGGAGAAAAATGTGTAGCGTGAGTCAATTTGTTGCTGAACTTTTGGATTTCCGCCTTCACAGACCATTTACATGCACATGAACCTATACAACACTCTACAGCAGCGGTTCCCAACCTTTTTCAACTCAGGGCCCACATAAGAATCTAAAGAATGTTCGCGGCCCACATTCAACCATAAACAATACGGAGGCTGAATAAAGTTCTGATTGGTCAATTCAGAACATGTGACACGTTGTAAATCCAGTAGTACAGACCGCTGTCAAGGACTGTAATGGCCGTTGCTAAGGAGGATCAAGAAAGAGAAAGGAAAGGAGGTTCAAATAAAAAAAAAAATCTTAAACACAAATCATAATGTTTTGCAAATTATTTGGCGGCCCACTTGCAATGCCTTCACGGCCCACTAGGGGGCCACGGCCCACAGGTTGGGAACCGCTGCTCTACAGGAAAGCGAAACCCCTAACAGGGCCTTTTTGAAACGGCTGTGTTTACCTGTTTACCCAGACAGCTGGCGTCTTTGAGCAGGTCGTACACTCGGTGAGCTTTCTCTCTCTTCTGAGCCACCTGAGCATCCTGGCCCGACAAGGCGAAGTACGGCAGGATGTTGACCATGATCTTAGGGAAACAGTCGGCCAGTAGCTCTTTCCAGTCCTTCTCCAGGTACCTGCCGATGGACTTCACCTGCTCAAAGTCATCCAGGAAGACCAGGTGGGGGATCAACACCTGGTAGGAGGACCTTTAAAGGAGACACAAGGATTTTCAAAGGTTATGTTCCTAAGTTATGTTTACGACAGGGACTTATGCCGTGAGCAAGTTCTTGTGTATAAAATGTGAAAATACAGAAGTGTAGTCACTCACTTGTAGAACTCTTCTACTGCGTCGTGGTCCAGGAGGGTGAAGGGGAAGGATCCCAGGGTGTAGCGATCGTCAGACTGTCTCTGCGCGAGCCACTCAGCCACCAGGTAGTACAGGTGAGAGCTGACGAACGTTTTCACGCTCCTGTAGCCCAGCGCTCTGGAAACACTGCACAACATCTGGGAGGAAACCAAACACAGGAACATGGGACTTAAAGGGGACCTATCATGCAAAATGCACTTTTGTACGTCTTGTATACATGAATATGTGTCCCCGGTGTTCCAGGGAACTCACCAAGTGTCAGAAAACACAACCCTCTCTATTTTCCTCCATACCCAAATCTCTAAAAAAGGGGCTGCAACGGATCTGATCAAAACTGATCCAGATTTGAACACTGTCCTGACGTCAGGACGGTGGCGCTACGGCTATTGGGCCAACTCCACCAATCAGGAGGAGACAGCCACGGCCATTGCCGTTCGAAAGCCCTGGAGACGCTGTAGTACATATGCCAGGCCTGTAGATGGTGCTGTTCTCACAGAATCAGCCCTTGCAAAAACAGAGCTAAACATTTTCAAATTGAGCGAAATGAGGCATGGCTAAAATGCATGATCTGTTTGGTATTTTGAAAAAAAAAAAGTATAAATATGCCTTATATAGGTATGGTCCTACACTATATTATTCAAATATAGCATGATAGGTCCACTTTAAATCACCTATCATTTTTATAGGGCAATGTTTTGCATGAAAACAAACTTAAACTAATACATATGCTTACTCAAATTTCAGACAAAGGGATGCAAAGCCCCGTTCACAATATGGATGTTACAATATTTGGCACAACTATTTAATAAGTAAGTAAGAAAGTAAATGAGTATAATATAGACACAATATATTAAGTAGTGTATTAATATTATAATTGATGAATGATGCTGAAAAACGGATTATCGCATGAATAAGAACTCACTGTAGAAACATATTAATTAATTACAGTGCTGGTATACAAGAGGCCTACACTGCCTTGTCCAACTAGACAAAGTCGCACATATTTTATTATTATTTTGTAGAAAATGTTGTCATTTCGCCATAAGTTCTCACCTTAAAACCTCAAATCAGCAATTGTTTGTTAATACATTTCCCCAATGCACAGTTCCCTGTATTTGTACCTTCTTGATGAGCTGCTCCTCGATGTTGTTCTCCTTGTAGGACTGGAAGAGGGCGAACAGAGACTGCTTCTCACAGACGGGGCTGCAGCACATCACCACAGACAGACTCTTCAGCAGCGCCGCCTTCCTGTTGAACACCTCGTCCTGCTGCTCCTCTGCAGAGCTGCTCCTCTGTGCGCCACACACACACACACAGCAAGCATCAGGACACACACACACACACAGCAAGCATCAGGACACACACACACACAGCAAGCATCAGGACACACACACAGCAAGCATCAGGACACACACACACACAGCAAGCATCAGGACACACACACACACACAGCAAGCATCAGGACACACACCCACACACACAGCAAGCATCAGGACACACACACACCACACACACAGCAAGCATCAGGACACACACACACACACACACACACACACAGCAAGCATCAGGACACACACACACACAGCAAGCATCAGGACACACACACACACACAGCAAGCATCAGGACACACACACACACACAGCAAGCATCAGGACACACACACACACACAGCAAGCATCAGGACACACACACACACACACACACACACACACACACACACACACACACACACACACACACACACAACACACAACACACACAACACACACACACACACACACACACACACACAACACACACACACACACACACACACACACACACACACACACACACACCACACCACACACACACACACACACACACACACACACACACACACACACACACACACACCACACACACCACACACACACACACACAGCAAGCATCAGGACACACACACACACAGCAAGCATCAGGACACACACACACACAGCAAGCATCAGGACACACACACACACACAGCAAGCATCAGGACACACACACACACAGCAAGCATCAGGACACACACACACAGCAAGCATCAGGACACACACACACACACAGCAAGCATCAGGACACACACACACACAGCAAGCATCAGGACACACACACACACACAGCAAGCATCAGGACACACACACACACAGCAAGCATCAGGACACACACACACACAGCAAGCATCAGGACACACACACACACACAGCAAGCATCAGGACACACACACACACAGCAAGCATCAGGACACACACACACACATACACACACACACACACACACACACACACACACACACACACACACACACACACACACACACACACACACACACACACACACACACACACCACACACACACACACACACACACACACACACACACACACACACACACACACACACACACACACACACACACACAGCAAGCATCAGGACACACACACACAGCAAGCATCAGGACACACACACACCAAGCATCAGGACACACACACACAGCAAGCATCAGGACACACACACACAGCAAGCATCAGGACACACACACACACAGCAAGCATCAGGACACACACACACACACAGCAAGCATCAGGACACACACACACACAGCAAGCATCAGGACACACACACACACAGCAAGCATCAGGACACACACACACAGCAAGCATCAGGACACACACACACACACAGCAAGCATCAGGACACACACACACACAGCAAGCATCAGGACACACACACACACATACACAGCAAGCATCAGGACACACACACACACACACACACACACACACACACACACACACACACACACACACACACACACACACACACACACACACACACACACACACACACACCACACACACACACCACACACACACACACACACACACACACACACACACACACACACACACACACACACACACACACACACACACACACACACACACACACACACACACACACACACACACACACACACACACACACACACACACACATTTATGAGAGCACATTATGAACTCACTGGGAGCCTCATTCCTTCCTGAGCCTTCAGGTAGACGTTCTCGAAAGCCGCCTGCTGGTGTTTCAGCAGCAGCATCTTCCTCTTATCCAAACGTCCTGGTCTCATCTCAAGAAACAACCTGGTCCAACACAGAAAAACAAGTCAAAAAGAGACCTGCTTTCCTTACTAAATTGACAGTGCAACATTTAAAAAGATGCAGTAAAATTAAATACCGCTGTCCAAAAATTGGTTTGACATGAAAATTTCAATCAAAAATGATTTGCCCAGGTCAGGGGCTGAAAAACCTTTTTGCAGACATTTTAAAAATACGTTTGAGGAACACTGTCTCACCTCTCCACGGACATGGCCACCAGCATGCGGACCTGGTGGTGTGCGTCGGCGAGGTGAGAGGGGAGGAGGACAGACACGGGGTGATCCACCTCTCTGATACTCAACACCGCCCACTCACAACACGGGTCGGCCTGTCAAGAATCACAAGAAGAGGCGATGCTAAATCAACAAGAAAACAATCTAGACAGCATTACAGGTCAATGAAAGTAAGTGCTTTTGATTTTGGGATAACAGTTAAACCTGATCATGCATCAGTCATTTAATGAATTACATTTTAACAGCATGGGCAACTTTGAGTAGTTCTGACTTTGGGAACCACAAAATGCAAAAAGTCTGCTTATCTTTAAGGTGCTAGAAGCTTCAATGACTCCAAACTGATACAATAGACCAAATAGGGTTAAAGCCTGCATGAATCTAAGTGTGCTGATATCTTGCCCATCAGTTTGTGCACATAAAACATTGAAATCAGCTTTAAAATGGTGACTCAAAAAACACTTAAAGGTGGGGTAGGTAAGTTTGAGAAACCGGCTCGAGATACACTTTTTGTTATATTCCATGGAATGCTCTTAACATCCCGATAGCAATAAATATCTTAAGTGCTTTGACAAAAAATCCATAAAAAAAATGTCATCTGTGGAAGCTGTAGTACTGTAAAAAGCACGACCAATCATTTTAGCCGGGCTAAAATAACTGGATGGCCTACCTGCCTGTCAGCCTTCCATCTGTGCACAAACTTATCTCGTGCCCTCATTGGTCATGTGCACGTTCGTGTGTGTTGGAGGAGGGGCTCTGTAAGGAAGTGGCAGATTTTCTCCGGCTGTGTATTTTCAAATTCTAGCGCACTCAAGCTGGTTTCTCCAAAATTACCTACCCCACCTTTAAGCACTTACGTCAATCATATAACTGAGCCTCATAATCCAAGTCAAATATATAATCAAGATAGAAAATCAGTATTTCATGGTTGTGCAGATACAATAACTTCCTCTGTGAGAGCTCACCTCCAGCAAGGCAACCAGACATCTCACTAAAGCGGCTCGTACAGCTGCAACACATTTCCCCGTTTGGCTCAGGAAACTGAAACACAGCATGGCAATTCTGTTAGCTTCAAAAACTGAAACACTAACGAGATACAGACAGTGGATAAGAATTCAATGTGTGATTCATGCTCTCTCTCTTAAACTGCAGCCATCCCTTTAAAAATATAATTAAACCTAATAACTTAAAGACTATGATTTCCTGTGAAAACCAGGAACCATTTTACACCCTTCATCCGCCCCCCCCCCCCATGCATGCTTATGTTTATAAACTGATGCTGCTGACCAGAATCCAGACACCACTTGCAGCAGAGACCCCTGAACGTGTCTCATCTCCTCTGGGATGTGTTGGGTTTTCCCGAGGCTCATGATGGAGGGTAACAGACCCAGCAGCACAGCGGCACAGATCTCCTGGTCCTGACGGTGCAGAGAACACAGGTCCCTGCACACACAGCACGACAAATACATTAAAAACACAAGATTTTACGGATGCATTTTAAAATAAAACTGTATAACAGAAAGATTTCCCTACGCTAGAGGACGAAGCAATGTATCAAAATCCTCCGGAGAGAGCGAGTCCTCCGCAGGAAGCTTCTTCAGCAGGAGCAGGTACTGGAAGACAAGCAGATACAAACGCTCATCAGATGAACCGTCACTGCCTCTGAAGAGATGACTCTCCACAGCAGCTGCTACCCCACCATGTTGAGGTGCAGAGCCTTGTTGAAGTCCACCTGCTCGGCCAGCAGCAGCAGCAGCAGCCGGCGCCGCACCTCCTGCGGTTTGAAGAGCAGAGCGTGGACGGGCTGCATGGAGCCGCACTCACACAGGAAGTCCAGGACGGCCAGCAGAGCCAGGTCCTGCTGGGCCAGATGATCCTCTGCTAACAGACTCTTTGCACCTAAAAGGAGGAGAGAAAAACCAACATTATTTATCATCCATCATATTTTGATCAGGTCCTATTCTGCTATTTTGGAGTGTTCCCTTTCCTGTCGTGTGTTTTATAGGTTTCTGTGCATGTAAATGGTCTGCAAAGGCTACAATCCCAGAGTTCCTTCCAGAGGGAGTTTCTCTCCCATAATAAATGACACCAAATGTTGTCTTCCACATTCAGATCACGTTATCTCCTCTCACCCGGCCCACAGGAGCCCTCTGTGCTGTCTCCCTGCTGTCTGTGGGTCCCGTTGCTGCTGTGGGACTCATCCCCCTCCTCAAACAGGTCGATGTCGTCCCCTTGTTGGGTTCTGGTCACGTCCCAGTCCTCCTCCATGTGGTCGTCTTCATCCACAACACTCACTCTCTTTGAGACACTGCTTAGCTGAGACAGGGAAGGAAGTGAGTTGAATTCATCGTTTCAGTTCGTGATTCTCTCTTTTTATTTAATCTTAGGCCACTAATATCTTATATACTTATATCTGCGTTGTATTAGATACTGTATACACATTTTTTAGCTTACCAACAGTTTGCAGATCTCAGCCAGTTCACTGAGAAGACTGGCCGGCAGAATCTTAATGAACAGAGTGGACCAGATGGGACAGATTTTATCCTGGGAAAAGAAGAAAAAAATAACTAATAGCTCTTGGAATCCTATTTTCAATATGTCAGTGTTGATTGGCTTGGTATTGAGGCTGTAGGCAGTCCAAAAAAAGAAGGTGCCAGGGGCTAAGCACAGTGAGAAAAAGATGTGCTTTACTCCTTGCATTCGTTTTTACCATTTAATCCAAAAAGCCGGCAAAAAAACAACCCATTCCAGTACCAGTTACTGTTGGTGCAATTGCAAGCGCCCTGGATGTGTAATTGTGGTGGAAATGATTGCGATTACAAGTGCGATGGATATTGCGGTCAACAAAAATCTTCCCGACTCACTGACCATGAAAAACCCAAGTGAGCAGGCGAGAGCAGTCAGGTGTGTGTGTTACATAGATTTCAGCATAATGCATCCCATGATGATGGAGGCTTTAGTCACCTTGTTATTTCTGCAGGCTGACTGTGTGCAGAGCTTCATGACGGACCTCAGTGTGCTCATGGTTCCTTCCTCTGCCATCTTCACTTTCACACCGGAAACAAAACCGCTGAAGTCCTGGGCCAGAGCCTGGTGACAAACACACACCGACAAACTTAATACATGCTTTAATGCTTTGACAAATTATTTAACCTCTTAAGCCCTGAGCCTGTTTTTCAGGTCTCAGGCTCGAAAATGACATTCCCAGAACAAATGACCATATCTTCCCTTCTAAAAGGGTTAAATTAATAATCTTTTTTCTCAAAGTAATGATAAACCTGTGAGTTGGATGTAGAAAAGTCAGAATCAATATAGATGTTTTTTATTTTAAAGAAAATTCAGATTTTACATAGTAAAAAACTGTAAATTATAGTGTCTGTCCAAAAATTCTTTTTTACAGATAGTGAAAACTACCCTTGGATGATGGGTTAGTAGACTAAAAGCTTTAGGAATCCAAAGTACAACATATAATAAGTACCCTGTATCAAGATTGATGCAAAACAAGTGAAATTTGACCTTTTTAGAGAGATTTAGCCAAAAAACCCCACTTCTGGGGTCATTTGGGTGGATTTGACCTATCTCTGGCCCCCCTTGGTCGATTTTGATGAATGAAATCTCTTAATAACCGCTAGAGCCAATGGAATCGAGGGAAAGTTATATACACACCAAAACGTTAACAAATAAGGAGTGAGAGTGACGCGTTACCAAAACCGGAAGCTGCATACACTCTGGTGGCTACCATTAGCAGCTAACTTTTCCGCTCCGATTTTTACATAAAAAATTGAATTATGGATTATAAATAATTTTTTAAAAGGAACAGGTACATTATCAACCTATGGATCAACAGTTGTAGATTTTTTTTTTTCGTTTTAATGCCATTGAACACGTCTTTTGACCTAATTGACAGCTACGGTGAGACGATCTGCCGTAAAAGCTCCGTAAAGGTACGTGTTGTGATGTCTGTGTTTGCTTCCCCTGTCGCAAGTTCGGATCGCTCAGTGATGATACTATACCTAAATAATCAGTGGAGTCTCAGCTTTAATCGGCTATATTGTATGTGCAGCTACGATAAGTAATAAGGGTATCTTTATCTTGAATTGTGTGCCGCAGTGCGTTAGAATTTTTTCGCTCAGGGGTCATTTAGACGCTTCTTATGAGACTTGTGTTTTGTTTTGGTAAAAATGGTTCATATCTTCAGTTAGCTGAGATTCTTCCCGTTAATCTGGTGCTACACATTAATAGTTTCATAAATGTTAAGAAGCCCTGAGACATTATCTCGAAAACAAAACGGTGGGAGGGGTCCAATGGGGGGACCGCCGTGCTTAAGAGGTTAAAGAGGCTCTATTCTGCTCATCTTAGGTTCGTATTAGTATTTTAGTCTCTCTACTGTGACATGTCTCCATGCTTTAATGTTCAAAAAGCTCTTTATTTGTCTCATACTGCCTGTGCTGCAGCACCTCTTTTCACCCTCTGTCTGAAACCAGAGCCCAGTCTGCTCTGATTGGTTAGCCTATCACGTAGGATGTGTAGGAGCGCTAGCCAATGGAAGCGCACATGTTACATCAGTGGTGAACCGTCAGGGCCTTCAAGGTATTCAGAGAATACCCTGGAACACTCGATTTAATTATATAAATAAAATGTAATAAAATGTATATAAAATGAATAAATGAGAATGGTATCTGTGTTGTTGATCTGTAATAGATACAGTGTTACGTTGATTTGTTTGTCCTTCTCGGTTCATGCACTACGCATTTCAGTGGTTTTGTGTTAGAAAAGAAATGCAACCAATCAGATCTTGTTCTGGGTCTCTGGGTAGAATACCCTTCAACCAAGGTATTCTATATCCTTGATAGAATGCCCTGGCCGTTGCACTGAATGAGAGCGTACGTTTGGATTGACAGTTTGATCAACCAATCATATATTGATTTGTAGCCAATGGGCGTATTCTTTCAGAGTTTCCCTCGGTTCCAGGGTACTCTAGAAGGCCCAGTAGTTCCGGACCACACACTTTGAGAGGCACTGATCTAGATCAGTGCCTCTCAAGTTAAGTTTCATTTTCGATTGCATGATATAGCCCAGCGCAACACCTTCATCACACGTTGCCACTTGTTTGTACAGATGGAGCCTCTTATTTTGGACGCCAGCATACAGCTTCCTGCCTACTGCCAGCCAGTTACCTGCCTAAGACCTGCCAAAGACCAGTATCCAGGAATGTTAGGCCCTCCCACTATTCTCCAATTTCAGGGTTTAACCAGGAGATGGCGCTATATATTAAATAACTAAGACTTAGTTTTTCACAATAGAAAATGCAGATATTATATAAAAAACTAAAGTTAAAATCTTGTTTTTAATGCCCCAAGAGCAATAACATCTTGTCACAAGCTTTTTGGAAGAAAAAGACTGACCCAAGAGACCTGTAGTTGACTAATTACAGGCCTCAATAAAGTTCTGCCATTGGTTGTGAAAAACAACGGTGGACATAGTGGAAAGTGAAATTGACATTGTCGAATTTAATAAAAATACAAAATAATGTATCTGTATACGTGTTTTACTATGTGATCTGCACTTATCAAACATCTAATTAAAGAAAGGTAGCTGTACCTCTCAAACAACCTAAACTAGTTATAAATGTTTATTTTAAATAAAGTCTTTATGACTCGGAATATGAATAATATGGGCAGTTACAGTTTGTTTTCATCTGATTTCAAATAAACACTAAGAGTACAGATATGTCTACCCTTTCTTTTCAGAGTGTAATATCTGCATTTTCTCTTTTGGTTTGAATAGGAGAAGGGCAATGGTTATCGATGGTGCTTTTAATGCCTATTGTATACGAACTGTGTGATTTATATTGCTTTTCAAATGCATATAAGCCCCCCATTTACACTGCACTTCCCCGTCAAGAAAATGAATAGCACTTAGTTAGATCACTTTACAGATCAGGTTGGACCAGCCCTGTCGCTACTCTCTGCATTTCCTACTGCAGATAAAACTAAATAGGCCACCATTGGTAGCAGTTCTCATTATATACTTCTCAGTAACTGCTCCCCTTAAATTAAATGTATTCTGTAGAGAAATGTAAACGTTCACCATCCCCCACCCGCCTACTGTATGTTGCTTTTTGACATGTAAATGGATAACTACCCCCCTCTGAGTGAATACCTGTTGTACCTGTCCGGGGCTAAGCCCATAGGACGATGCTCTGATGTCATCACCCTCGCACATTGGTCATATGTTTACAAAAAACGATGTTAACACTTTCTCGTTCTTAATATATGCTATATTTAGGGTCGATATGTGTTGAATTTACTTTAAAATAGCAGATCACTGTGATTCACTTCTCCGCGGCTCCTCCGTGCAGAGAGGCCCCCCCCCGTTGACAATTCACGAGCGTCTAACTCTCTCCCCCCTCCCACCTTCTAACAGAACCCCCCCCCATATCAAATCCCAATTTATTCATATTCTGAGTCATAAAGACACACACACACACACACACACACACACACACGGATTTGGCCCACAGACCTAGAGAGTACCAAAATACAGTGAGTCCTAAACACAAGTAGTCAGGGTTCATTTATAACGCTTATTTTGATTTATTTTTCTCAAATGATGCTGTATGTTTCACTTTCTGAAAGCGTTAGAATCGCACATGAAAAATATTGAAAGCTGCCAGCTGCCCTCGGCCATGTCTTTGGCGGTGATCCAAGCTTCGGTACCACAGTGGATAAAGTTAGTAATACATTTATACTGATCAAATGTCAATACATTACATAAGTCTTATTCTCATTCATACTTAATTTATTTCTTCTTCTGTCAGTATGAACACAAAAAACTAACCGGTATTACATTTCATTCTAAAGTTTACGGTCTAAAAAGGTATTTAAAACAGATAATTTGTCGTTGCTTTTGGCATAAGCAGTCAGAGGAAACATAACGTTCTCAGTAAGATTCCTTGAAGAACTAGAGCACAAGAACCAAAGTAAGCTTTACTTTCAATGAACCTTCAATATAGACCTAACATGTGAAGAAACATACTTTATTTAAAATAAACATTTATAACTAGTTTAGGTTGTTTGAGAGGTAATTGAAATAGCTAAGGGTGATGATCTGCGAACACAAACTACAGACTGCTGGAGAAGAGATATCACAGGGGGGGGGTTGGGACACACACATTCCGATGGCCAATTCGTTTAAAACAAAGAGTAGGCTATACTCAACATAGTGGGGTGGGGGCTGGTGAACGGTATGGTCAATGTTTGTAAACACTGTGACATTTTGACTTTATTTGATCATTTCAGTTAAAAACTAACGTTCATATTTCATATTACTGTTTTGCCTGGCTGGACCTGTAATTTACAGGAAAGGAGTGCACGCTACTAAAGAGACACGCTACCATGGAAACCAAACAATGGTGTTGCTGTATTGAAGTCCGAGTGGAAACAGTCATATTTGGAGCGTTATGTTAGAATGAAACAGCGAGGTTGTGACTCACAAAAAAAAAGTGTTACTTCACTAACTGTAAGCTTGTCACTCAGAGTAACCTACAGTTAACTTAACTGTTGGAAAAGAAAGATCAGGGGGGGAGAGAGCTGTGATGGGCCATTAGGAGTGTACACACACAGCTGAGAGCTGCCGTTTCATTCTGGCCCCGGCTCCACGAGGACGAAAACTGGTTGAATCCGCATATTTCTCATGCGTATAGCCCTCTAAGCTCCACGACGCCGTAAGGGAAACGTAGAAACAGACCCCGCAAACGACAACGGGTCCAAAGGTGGATAGATCTGGGAACAGAGCGCTCTGGGGGGTCCAACGGGGCCGTGGAGTCGCCTATACGGTCATTCGTTTTCATAGCCCCGCCTCTCCCCGCCTCTCCCCCGCAGGGTTGCTATCGTGCTCCAGTCGCTACTGACCATGCTACAGTTCTTTGTGCAACATCTACAGGAGCTCCTCCTTGAATTCAGATTATTTATCTTTATCTCGATATGGACATAAACGCGAGTGAAGTCTAATCTGACAGGACGGAGACACGCAGCTCCTGCCGCTGTGATGCAGCGGGAGCAAAACACACAGTTCAAGTCAGATCATCACCCTTAGCTATTTTAATTACCTCTCAAACTACCTAAACTAGTTATAAATATGTTCATTTTTACTGTCGGGTCACTCATTACAGGATCAGCTGCTGCATGAGACAGACACTGACGCTGTGAGAAGAGAGGAAAAAGAGACAGGCTCTGTGTATTTGATGATTATATATCATTATATCGTCGTTATTCATTTGTTTTAAAGCTCAATAAATAACAATGAAGACCTTTGACCGGCACTTTTATAATTTTGTCCGGAAGATTTAAACTTTAACACACGCTGACCGGCGAAAAACTCTGCCCGGTTTTGTCGGCCCCCACCGCGGAGAATACACAGAAGTGCAGCCATGACAACCATTCTTCTTCGCTGCTTTTGTGGAGGAAGTTGCTGCTTTTGTGGAGGAAGTTACAGCGCCACGTACAGGTTCGGCATATGTACTGTAGCTTTTCCAGCGTTTGGATGTAAACGGAGCCGTCTCGTGGAGCTTGACACAATCCGGTGTATATTGCGTGGGGACGGAAGGTTTTTTGCGGTTGCATTTGCGTTTCTCCGATGCGTTTTGCCGTATTTGTCCTCGTGGAGCCGGGGCCTCTGACTGTTTAAAAAACGGTAACAACGGACTATTTTTCTTAGCGGATGCATGTAAATTTAAATCAATACATACAACTATTTTTTAAATCAATAAAAATATTTTCTAAATCCATAAAAGCATTTGAATTAATATTGGGAGTCATGTCGTTACTTTGTTGAGAATGTGGCCATGTAATAAGCGGGATAATTTGCAGCGACTTGGTCATTATGGGGAAAAATAACACCCAGGGATCAAGATCCCTCCGCGACGCGACGCGGAGGGATCAGTAATTTTTAGTGAATTACTGAGTTTAGGCACGTTAATAACATTTTAATGAAGTTGAATACAGTATATTCATATTTGTCAGTGATTTCATGTCAATTCGGCGAACATAAACGATTAAATTAGGATTAAAAATCGAGAGCCGGCTGCTGTTTTTTCGACTAAACAACATTATTTTGTTAAATAACAACATGGTGATGTTTTGTAAATGATTACATGTCTTATTTAGCACAGACTATGATCCTATCCGTGACATATGGATCTTAACAAAGATCCGCTATACATTAGTACCAGACATACTGTACAAGACTCCACACATGACTCCAGTGTGGAACCCCACTGCACCCCCTGGTGGATCAATGATCCATTGCAGCTGGCTTCACAATAATTAAATGTATTTATCACGGGGGCGGTATCAAGTCAGACTGGGGGCCGGCCGGCCATCACGGAACGTGCACGAACCGATCACGACCCTCGCATTTTAAACTGTCCAAAATAAGACGCTTCATCTGTACCATTTTCAGGCGATTTGTAATCTGTTCTAGAAAAACGATGTGTTTTTTTATATTTTAGGTGGTCCGTGAGTGTTTTTTTATTGGTTAAGTGGTCCTTGGTATGAAAAAGTTTGAGAAACACTGATCTAGATGAATCCGACGAAGCAATTCATATGCCGTTTTATTGTTTTTAACGTTGAAATGGCAAGTGGGGGGGTTAGGGTGTCTACAGAAGGTCCAGTTGTGATAGACACGGTTCGCCACTGTGTTACATAGTGATGTCACTATGTTACGGAAGTAAACAAAGGAGTCTAATGGAGGTGTTTTAGGGATGACATGGACAAGAACCTTTATAACCAACTACAGGAAACGGAAAACCTGAGAAAGCAAAATAGGGCCCCTTGAAGAAGCTGGGATGATTAACCACCAAATATAGGGATCTCCTGGGATGCATGAGAGCGTTACCTTGGCTTTAGTGAAGAGCGGTGAGCGGCAGGCCTCCTCCTCACTCAGAAACCCAGAGGACACGTACGCTGCTAAAACCCCTGTCAGCAGACTGAAGCAGCGCACCAGACACTCCGGAGGGGTCGCCTGAGACTGTGGGAGGAAGAATCAGAATAAATACATGTTTGCCACTTCAAGAATACACACACATCAACACAAACACTTCCTCTTACATCCGGAGAGAAGCAGTTGAGCAGGTTGTCCGCCACACAAAGCAAGGATTGCTCCAGCTTGTTCCTGAGGCCGGGGACGACGGCGAACTGTCCGTCAGTTTCAGACGTCTTCACTGATCCGTCGATCTCTTGCAGCGGTGAGGGCAGAGTGTTGAAGCTGAACTGCAGGTAAAGCCTCTCGATCTCTTCCAGGTTGTCTTTGCCGTTAGATGAGGTTTGTTCTTGAAAAAAGGCACTTTAAAAAAAATGAAAATGTAATTATTCTTCGCCCAAATTCAACATATGACACTTGGATTGTGTAACAAGGGGATGTTAAAAAGGTACATTTACCATCAGGTTAGTAAACACTCGTAACACTTTCCCTCACCTCTCTACCCCTTCAGCACCCAGCAGAAACTTCAGCCCAGTTCTGGTGTCCTTCAGGGTCAGGGAGACCAGGATGATCGCTATTAGATTGTAAGGGAAGTCTCTGCAAACAAGATTATAATAAAGTATATTTGTTACAGACCTTAATCTTAAATCAAAGACAAATAGATGTATCTCATGTTTGGAGCTTAGTTCCTGAGCATGCATAAGAATAAACAAGGAATCAAATAATCACATAAGAATAAAATAAGGATAAAAATAAGAATTCAATTATAATTAAATAAGAATAAAGTAAGAAATAAAATAAAAATAAAATAAATAAGAACAAATTAGAAATAGAAAAATACAATTCAATGAATAGCCAAATTAAAAGTGAGCCTTGTGTTGGCTCTTAAAAGTATGGTTTAACTAAATTGTTAAAACATGATTCAATTACAATTAAAAGGCCAATACAAGAATCAATCAATCAATCAATCAATCAATGTTTATTTATATAGCCCAATATCACAAATGTTACATTTGTCTCAGTGGACTTCACAGTTCACAAGAAGACCTGATTGAAAGCAAATCTAATAAACAGCTGGGCCCAAAACCATTAACGCAGCGTCCACACGGCAGCGTGCGTTGAAGCTTGCCAGTGGGCGTGTCTGAAACCCGACCAACAACCAATCACATGAATCTCCCGCCCCGGACACACAAGCACGCGGTTTGATTGGCTAGAGCTTGTACTGGCATATGATTTGATTGGCTGACGCTTCCGTCGAAGCTTCAAAAGTTGAACATTGCTCAACTTTTGAAGCGAGCAACGCGAGCAAAGCGAAGCGACGCGACCACAATGCAGTTCGGCAAAGCGTGACGTCACCCCATTCAAAGTGAATGGGCAGAAGCGTTGAAGCTTCAACACACGCCGCCGTGTGGACGGGCCGTAAGAGCTTTAAAAACAAATAAAGATAAATCTGGAATTAACAAGAAGAAGCAACACGGTGCACACCTGCATATGATGGGGTGAGGTCTGGAGCTCTCCTCCATCTCATCGCTCTGATCGCTCATCAGCAGCCAGGCGATGAGGGTCTCCTTCAGGTTCAGTGATCCTTCTGAGACCCCCACACAGTCCCAGCCCGAACTGGGGGTGATACTTTTTGGGGGCGAACACTTTAGCAGGGATTGGGCTAGACAGAGAGCAGCAGCGCTGTGGACACAAAGAGAAAAGGGCTACTAAAAGTGGGAGAGAAACTCCATCTGGAGGGAACAAAGGGGTTTTAGCCTTTGCAGACCATTTACATGCACCAAAACCTATATGACACACTACAGAAAGGGAAACCCTAAAATACATACAGGGCCACTTTAACACATGTAAAGCTTTAAGGACGGAGACTCACTGGGACGGTTTACATGCTGATCCAGAGAAGAGCTTCCAGAACTCTCTGTCCATGTTGATCAGCCCCCCGTGGACGATGGAGCTCAGCAGGTCCAGGCTGAGGGCATCTGTCTGGGGAGAGCTGACCCCTCTCAGGGCCAGGAGCCAGACCCGCCCCCACAGCCGGGACAGCTCCGCCCGGTGGACCTGGGCCCTCTCCGGGTGTCGGGCCTGGCAGCGGGCCGCCTCCCTCAGGCAGCGCAGCACGTACGGGCCCCTGTCTACTTTCCGCTGCTCCGACAGGAACTGAAGGAACACGGACAGCAGCGGGACCAGCTCCTGGGACGGCACCATGGACGGGTACTTAGAGGTGAGCACGGCTGTGATCTGCAGCCTGAGAGGAGAGGAGAGCGTTTCAAAAACTTTACAGGATCTTGAGTGGGTAGAATCAGAGAGACACCAGGCTGCTTTGTGTTTTTTTACTAAAAGATATCCTCCACAATAAAGGTTTGACCTCTAATAAAAACTCAACAACCTGCATTGTGTGTACTTATGACTGCACCATTATTTACCTACTTTTGACTTCTAAATTGACATGTATATATATGTAACATATCCATAATTACACATATGTGTATATACTGTATGTTGACAATTTAAATGTATACTGCAACTTTTCTTTATTTTTATTATTATTATTATTGTACTTGTGTACATTTATGTCTTTCCTATCCTGTGTTTCACCCTTGTTCCCGTTGCAGCTAAGACACCTGAATTACTTCCATACAGGAATCAATTAAGGTTTATCTTATCTAATCTTAAAATAAAATGACCATTACCATTTGTATATTAAATGTGTAGTTTTCAAACATACCTTCACAATAAAAAAAATAAGAATAAATTGTATTGTGATTTTCCTACCATGGTATGACATCAAAGTCACTGTTCTGCGGCTGCAGGTGGTCCCGGAGGACCACCCAGCCCAGCTCGATGCGGCGCCGCTTGCTGGCGGCTCCTTGGGTGGGACTGCTCATGTGGGAGGCTCTGAGGGAGGCCTGGGTCACCTCCAAGACGTGGGCGTCATTATCCTCACTGAACAGCTGCATACAGGAAACACAAGAAGGAAAGGCAGCATTTTAAATACTAATTATATTATAATTAACATCAAATTAATCATTGTGTTTTCCTGTTTCCTGGTCAGTGTTACCTGATGACAGATGTCCGCTGTGAGCTCAATGAGGTTGTCTTTGACGGCTATGTGTCGGGTCCCTGTGACGTACTTCCCCCTACTGCCTAAATGGCTGATCTCTCTGATTAAAGCCTCGTACAGGTTGAAGAGCAGACTGCGCCACCGGCTCCAGTCCTTAGCATGAGCTCCTGAAATATGAGAGAAGGGACAACTAGTTGGAGTTCCTATCATGCTTCTTGGGGTTTTTCCTTTCCTGGGTGTTATATATAGTTTGTTGTGCATGTAAATGGTCTGCAAAGGCTTAGATCCCATCATGTTTAGTGTCTGGGCTTATTATTAAGCTTCATATAGCTTATCAGGGGGTCCCATTTCAAATGTCTCCATTATGTTTTGTGATTTTACTTATATTTTTAAACTGTTCATAAAAAAATAAATCAAAAGGAAATGAAATGAAATGATTATTACTCAACAAGAAACCAAAATAGTTTTAAAGAAAAAGGAACTATCACCCCACCTGTATCCGGTGTCTTGGCTCCTTCGGGGTGGTGAACACAGATCTGCAGGTTGAAGAACTCCACGATCTCCTCTTTGAGAGCCGCGTTGGGCCTCATGTCCGCCCAAACATACAGGACCGACGGCAGGAGCTCCTCTCCCAGCTGACACACCCTCATCCGACAGTTCATGGCCGCACACCTCAAGAAGATGTTGAGAGCCGAGACGAGGTGCTCCAACACAGTCAAGTGTTTCTCCTGCCTGAGCAACAGGATGAGGAAAAAACAACGATTTTTAAGATAGCACTCAAACAGTGTTTATATATTCTGCTCATTTACAGGTTCACATTTCTATGCACCTCTTTTCACCCTCTGTCTGAAACCAGAGCCCAGTCTGCTCTGATTGGTAAACTGGCCGGCTCTGTTGTGATTGGTCAACTGCTTATAGATGTCCCGCCCCTTAGCCTATCACGTACAATGTGGGAACAGCCCCGAAATACATAAGAGGGCCTTTTTTAAATGGTAGTATAAATCTTTACCTGGCATTCATCAGTGCTTTGGAGAAGAAGCTGAACAGAGTGTGGTTGAATCCTTCAGTCTGCATGCAGCAGCCCTGCACCAGGGTGTGGATCACTCTGCTCACCAGGACACGGTTGATGGACTTGGATGAAGAGTTGAACAAATCACAATACAAGTCCAGAAGATCTAAGGATCACACATATAAACAAGGGTATTTAGTAAACTCATTAGGCCTACCTTGGTATTAATAATACTGTGTACTGGAAAACAACAAATAAGAGTAGTGGGAATGATATGCAAATAATATTTTGTATAAAATGTTTGGAATATATATGAATTTCCCACTCACTGTGCCACTGTTGAGGAGGGATGTCACACCAGTACTTGCGGACAGAGAGGATGTCCTTTACTAAGAGGCTGCTATAATCTTCTCCATAGGCTGAACAGGTGTATGAGTCGTGCAGGACGTCCATCACATGCTTCAGTATCTCACTGCACTTTAGACAAGGCCCGCCTGCAGAGACAGAGACACACGCTGTAACTGCAGTCACAAAAATGTGTTCAACTGCTATTCTGTTTACTACTCAGATGAATGAGTCAGGTGGAGTAACTTCTGAAATCTATTGCTGGATCTTACAAAACTCCACCCTTACGTTTGTTTGCATAACGAATGAAGTATTTGATCAAGCTGCACACTTCTGCCATCTTCTTCTTCTTCCGGATAGTCAGAATAGTTGCTGTGACGTTGGATTTGCTTGATTGCATGCTTTCTGTCTCCTTTTGGACATAACGCTGTAGAAATCTGGCATGGGGGAAAATACAGAGTATTAATAATAATGCAAAATAAAGCTTTATTTGTACAGCAGTTTTCATACATGGGATGCAGCTCAAAGTGCTTTAAAAATATGACAACATTCACTGATATAATTACAAGGAAGTAAAATTCGCAAGAGAAAACTAAAATAAATAATAAATCAATAATCTTAAGGTTCACAAGAGATAACATACTGAGTATAAGTAATACCCACATAAGACTAAATTAATTAATCCAATAAAAAAAAACTATAAATTGCAATAAAAAAACAATAAAATAGACTTTCAAATAGATTATTGTTTAACACATTTGAATAAATCACAAATTCTACACAGTTACTCTGTACTAAAGTGCAGAATGTTTACTTTCCATTGAAATCAATGGGCGCACTAAGGTTTCTGGAAGTCCGCTACATTTGATTTGTAAGTGATGAAAGGAAACAAAAGTGAAACTCAACAGGTGAGATGGAAACCAGTTAAGCCTGTTGTCTTGGCAGGCAAGTACAAAAGAAAATAACAGTTTTTGCAAGTGTGCATAACAATCACACAGAAGCAGGTATTACACTTTATTACTTTACATACATTTGGTTGCACATGCACCGAAAAAGCTACCTGAAAACAGCATCCCATGTGAGTTGCTTGGAGGCTTTAGCTTTGGATCCTGAGGCACGATCCAGCTCCTGCACAACATCTGGACTCCTCAGCAGCCGTCTGAAGCGCTCAGCTTCTTTCTGCAGGCATTAAGAGACAACTGTCAAAGTGTAGGAATGCTGGCAAATGCAAATATTTCTCATTTTATTGTTTGAATGTAGTTGACATGCAGGTGTGATTACCTTCCTCTCTGTTGCTTTGTCATTCTCCAACCCCCTGCAGCAAACCAGGAGGTCATGTAGAGCCAGACTCATTTTGCTTGGATGAGGGCACACCTTTCATCAAAGTACCCTGCCAAAGTACCCTGAGTAAAATGTTATACAGATTATGCATACAATACAATACAATGACATAGCCCTCTTCTCTTAAGCACTCCTGAGAAAGTATTCACATGAGAAATGGCAGTTTAACTTAACCTTAACACAGTATATCACCCTCTATTCTGCCTGGCCATGTAGACAAGCTTCTCTATCAACACAACATTGCCAGAGTAGCTTTAAATGTCATTACCAACCAAGCGTCCATTCAAACTGTTTACTGACCTCTTATAGATGCACTGTCTGGAGATACAGAGCAGCCACACATGCATGAGTTGATGTTAGCTGAAATGCTAAATTGCTGCTTGGTTAGCCTGCTGTTGTTATATTCCTGACAACTTTGCCATCTTGACATGCGTTTACGGACACGCGCACGCAGGCACACGCACTACAGCACGCAGGAAATTCCCGCCCCTGCATCAGCAGTGACGAAGCCACATCACTTCCTGGTCATGGCTGGAGCGAGTGAGTCCGGTAACTTTTGTGAAAACGTTAAAACAAACGTACTGTTTGATTAGGTGAAATGTTATTGAAGGTGATTAATAGCATGTGTGATTCTTGTTTGATTGATTACACTCATATTAAAGTAAATATAAGCATGTAGGGTGTAGTTGAGTTTCATGTTTCAAATTGGACTACAACTCCCAACATTGCAGTTGGCGGATTTATTTTTGAAGCTTCCGGGTTATACTTGAGTTCCCCGCCTTTTGAGAAAGCGACAGTCGTCTTCACAATAACACAAGGGACGGTTTATTGATTTGACGCGATTTAACGGATTAATGAGAGACTTTTCCTAAATATGGAGCTACACAGCTAACCGGTGACTGTTTGTATCAACCGACAGGCAGCCATGTTGCTACCGTCCGACGTCGCGAGGCTTGTTTTGGGTGAGTGTGGTGTGGCAGAGATGTAGCTGTAACTGTTAGCCTACAATGATACTGACCCATAGGTGGGAGAAGTACTCAGATCTCATACTTAAGTAATAGTAGAAGTACGAATACTCTGCTTCAAGTAAAAGTCCTGCATGCAAAAGGTAACTCAAGTAAAAGTACAAAAGCACTAGCATCAGAATATACTTATAGTACCACAAGTATTCATTATGCAGATTGTCCCATTTCAGAATAATATATATGATATGTTTTGATAATAATTATTGATGCATTAAAGTGTTGTTAAAGCTGGTAAAGGTGCAGCTAGTTTTAATTACTTTGTATTCTGCAGGGTAGCTTGTGTGAAGTAAGTAATGGTACAAAATAAATGTGGGGGGAGTACAAGTACACGATTTATCTCTGAATTGTAGTGGAGTCAAAGTACAAAGTAGCAATGCAAATATCTCTAAAATTGTGCTTCAAAACAGTACTTGAGTATATGTACTTCCTCTACAATTCAAATGTAAATATTGTTATTTTACTCCACTACGTTTGTGTATTAACGGTTACTTTGCAGATATAGATTACTAATAAACAATATGATCACCACTTAAATAGGATTTAAGTTACACCTGGATTAAATTCACATGCTAGCCAGCTGTAAATAAAGTAATTAAGTATATTTAGATGCCTATACTTTTACTGAAGTATTCCTACACTTGGTACTTCTACTTTTACTCAAGTATAAGATCTGACTACTTCTGCTGTTGACTGTTTGAGCTTTTTTAAACTGGATGTTGGTTAATGTCCGTCCTCCAGGCTACCTCCAAGAAGAGGGACTGTCCTCTACATCCCAATCTTTCATCCATGAGAGCCCAAACCTGAAGGAGTATGCAGAGCACTCCACAGAAGATGGGACTATTCCTGCTTGTGTGTTTGTAAGTCTGCTCCTTATGTCTCTGATTCGAACCTTTCACAAACTGTCAAATGCTAAATGTCATTCTGATAAAGGTGCATCTGTGATTCATGGTTTGTTTTTTCCTCCACCTCACAGTCTCTCTTTGGGAACGGCCTAACAATTATCCTAAACGAGTATGTCGCTACCAAGACAAAAGGTGAGCTATATTTGTATTAATTTACTCCTGAGCTCTGCCACCATTTACATATGTGTTTCATACAGTTATCTGTTCATTCTACATATCCACATACGTTGATATATTGTGATTTTAAAGGGTGTCTATTATCATCTGGCCGGGGACAACAGCTGGAAATTAGCCATGTTGGCTAAAGCTGCCCCATTTACTGTTTTTTGTGACAGTTGATCAATGGGGACTGTCCACAACACTATAAACAAATAAACTAAACACCTTTATTTTACTATCGAGTATAAAAGTCACATCACGTTTATCTTATTCTCTTTTATATGTAAATATTTGTCCATTATGTCTGTTTTTTTTGGGCTATTATATTTTTTGATTTCCTTTTATGTCTTAAGTATAGTAAGTTGAATTGTTAGAGCAGCTTGGGAATTACTATTTTCATTGCCAAAACTACACTTTAGCTGTTGTGCATATGACAATACATTTGAATCTTGTATCTAATGTGTCATGCTTGTGGTTTTTTTCAAAAGAGTCTGCTCATGAGGTGCCTGCCATGATGACGTCGTTATGGAAAAAGCTAGATTTTACACTCAACCAGATTAGGTAATGACCTTCAAAATCTTCCAAACACTGCAAATATTTTAAGTAAACTGACAACAATGTCAAATCTCAGTGTTTTCTGCTGTGTTGCACCTTCATCACTGATATTGTTTCATTATTATTCCTTACATTTTAAATAGGTCGTTGCAGAATTCACCCTCTATATCAGCAATTCAAAGAAGTAAGTCTCTTATTGGTTTTCGAGTTAATATGTTATTGTTTACGCCACTACAATCTTTGCGTTTTTGTTATGATTTCTACGTTTGCCTGAAAGATAGCTTCCATAATTAGAAGCTAATTGTGCGATTTTCTATCCACTATTAATATATATTATGATATATATATATATATTTTATTCTGTTAATGTTTACTGTTGTGAGGGGGACATTTCTTTGGATGAATAAGTGTCTTCCTTTCTTCCTTCCGTCCTTCTTCCCCATGGCTGTCAAACTATGATTCAAGATGAAATGCTGTATGAATTAGGTTTCAATTTCTCTGTTTGCCAGGTTTGCTCTATATTAATAAGCCTTTTTCTTCCTGCAGCACGTTCACGCGTCGGAGTGGCTAACATGGCCAGACAGCGGGTGTTGACCGTGACTTCAGCTGGTAGTAGTGTCCTCTGCTCATCAGTGTCTGAAGCCAGCTCCATCATCAGCCCCTCAAACCTCTCCCACAGCATGCTGGGCCACTCCACCCCCGTGAGGTACAGCACCGCACACACTCGACCAGCTGCCGGCAGTGGCACACACCAGCAGATCCAAGATGTCAGCCGCTTACTGAACAGCCCCAGTGAGTATCACAACACATGCAGTACTCCATGAATGTTTTGTTTGTTTTACAAGGAAGGTTGTGTTGTTTTGTTTTGTTTCACACATCTTGTAACTTTCCTCTTTATCAATCAATTGACAACAAGCATTCCCTTCTATTTAAAAAATGTCTTCACTGATTTAATACGGTAGCTGAAACTGACCATTTCATATTAGAGCTATTATCTTTGAACTACAGAAAGTTTCATAGTTAAAACCCATACATTTGTAACATTAGTTCCTTGTATTTTCGCATGTCTGCAAGGTGTCATTATTCACAAAAACGGTGCCTTTGTATGATGTGTCTATTACAGGGGATTCACCTATACAGATAGTTGTCTCAGATCACCGGCTAACCCAAGGCCCCATGTCTCCTGGACGACGGAAATGGTAACGATAACAATTATTGCTGTATTGAAGTTGAAGCCATCCCATTATGAAGAGAGCGTAGAAGAGGGACTGTGTTGTCCCACTGACCCAAATTGACTTGACAATGCTGCTCTCTTTTTTGCAAACGTACAAAAGAAGATGTTAATAGTAGCCCTTTTTATAAGAGTGCATAGTTGTCGCTATGTGCATGTTGAAAGACACTTCTTTATTGTTTTCTGTCGCCTTCAGGGACACCCCCAGGAAGAGAGGGGGGGCTCAGAGTGGCTCCAGTGCCCTGACTGTCAGTACTCCAAACGCCGAACCCCAAACTGAAGAGGCTGCAGATGAAAACTTTCCTGTAAGTAGATCTTTATGTAGGTGTGGAGATGTCATACTAACAAAGAGACTTCTCACTCGTGCAATAATATATGCCATCTTGTGCATGCTCAATTACTTAAATTGAGTTTTTAGGAAATATATGTGAAGAATTTAGTGAGTATTTTTAACATCATCTCTCTGTAAGCCTTCACAGCAAATCGTGATACAAAATGCCCGGGACAAGATATTGGGGGACAGGTCGTTACAAGAGAAGCTCGCTGAAAACATCAACAAAATCCTCGGAAAGTAAGTGTTGAGTTTCCAGCCTGCACCGCCTCACTGTGCTTGTATTATTTTCTTGTAACGGACCATTTATGATTCTGTCATTATCACTCAGGACATGACTGACAAAGACATGGCTGTTGCAAGTCTGTGGTCTAATATTGAGTGAAGTAGGGCTGCTCGATTATGGCAAAAATCATAATCTCGATTATTTGGGTCAATAATTGATATCACGATTATTAAAAACGATTATCCATTTACTTTGAAAACATCCATTTATAGAAAAAAAAAATTGAACAGTATGTTTTTAACAGTTGATTACCCTGAACTTTAAGTATAATTCAACTGAAAAACCAATAAAAAAATGTATCGTTTTATTTCGATTATGTTGTTTTCATAATCGTTGCAAGCCAAAATCGTAATTGCGATTAAAATACGATTAATTGAGCAGCCCTAGAGTGAAGACACTCAATATTAAATCTACATTTACACCCTTTAATATTTTATTTGGGCTTTTAGATGAAGACCGCACACAGTTCATAAATATAACTATTCTTCAGGCTAAAATACATATTTTTAAAACTCAATCAAGGAGTAATCTTAATTTAAAGTATTTGAAGAGTAGATTAAAAATACAATTTCTTTTGGAAAAGATATTGCCACAAAAAATCAAAGGGTGTCTCAACACGCCATGACATGGGAAATAATGAGCTCTAACGAAGAGTGGGATTAAAGGAAGAATAAATATGCTTGCCATGTTGTGTTTTTGGTGGTATTTGGTTGTCAACCTATTTTTGTTTGTGAAATGTTGAAGTGATCCTACTGTCTGTATCTTTATTTCTTCTGTTTCTTTTTTGTCTGAGGTGGGAATGTCATCTCCTAATATGTTATTGTTATGTCCTTGTTTGTGACTTTAGCCTGTACAAAGACATGGCTGTACTAATTTCTCCTCTGTTTCATCTCTCAGCGAGCCACCACCCCAAACTTCTAAGGCCCCTTCGAGTACAG